TGTACCCGGTATCGTACAAGGACTAAAAAATCAAATTATATATTAAACATATTTACGTATAAATTTTTTTTTACTAAAACCCACTTACTACACTTTCCTCAGATCAAATTATATAAAATGGGTAGGTAGATTTTGTATTTTTGAATTTCAAAATTACCATACTAAGGTAAGTTAAGGTTAAGGTAAGTTTACAACTTATTCTGGTCTAATAATAATTATTATAATAAGGAGGTTCGGGCACGATATTTGTGAAAATGTTGAAAAAATTCTGCTGTAGTAGTCTACTTAAACGACATATGTGAAATATTTACAAACTATTTAAAAGATTTGACCGCCTGCTAAGACTACACGGAATGTTATCGTTTATTATTGCCAAACTGTCACAGTTTAAAATAAAAAATTGTTTTTTAATTACATTTGATTTAAATCAAATGTAATAAAATGACAAAGTAAATTTTGTTTTTGCAAGTAGGTACCTGCCTAATGCTATTTATGCAAATAAAAGCAACTCCCCTTGCCCATGATACATGTTTGCCCCTTTTTCCGCAATGTACTGCCCAGATATAAACGTACTACCTAAGGTAGTCTACCTTCTTTATCTCTGGTACTGCCCGAACCTCCTGCAGGAATGTATGTTACGTTTTTGTAAAGACCTTTTACAGGGATGGGTCTGTATAATATATATTAATTTGGTATGCTCACCAATCATTGCTAAAAATAAATTAATATAAAATTAATAATTAATAATAACTAATTTAAATTTTAAAACTATATAGTTACCCCTCAGAATATGGTTGATCATCATAGTAAATGGGTAAAGCTTCCCTTCCCATTTTTTGTATTAATAATATTAATGCTTCTTTACTATATTTAGGTATAAATAAGGAAAATTTATGTAGGTAGGTACAATGCTAACAAAATTTCAGGTGACTATTTTGATAAGTTATTAGACTTATATACATTTTGTAATCTAAAATTTAATCTTAATAATAACATTCGTTAAAAGTTATTCCTCTATTTGCAATTGCAATTAATCTGAAGATAATTATCTTATTTTTTTATTTTAATTAAGCAAGTCTAATTGTAAAATTTTTAAATATAATTTTTAGTTGCACCTTATTTTTAAATTAATAATAAACAAGATAAGATAAGATACTTAGCAATTATGTCGCGGGGAATTACCGGTTTTTACATTCATTAAACTTGAACTTTGTTCGGTTAAGTGCAATGGAAGACAGTGGCGGCTGGTGGATTTTGGGTATACCAATATTTCAGTTATTAGACATGGGACCCGCACCAAATTTATAATAGTATATAATGACATTAAATAGACAAGTTCGGTTAAATTTAAATTGAAGTTTGCGAAAACAAGTTAGTTTTTCTTGTAGCCTCACCCGCCTCCAGGCCCCTCTATTTAAGATAATTCAAATTAAAGTGGTGCAATTTATTATCTACTATAATTAGGGTTGGGACAATTGAAATTTTCAAATGAAAATTTCAACTTTGAAAGTTTCAAACTTGAAATATTTCATTTAGTTGGAAAAGTGAAATTTTTAAAAATTTCAAATGAAATTTTCAATCCGAAAATTTCAACATTGCCCGTGAAAGTTTCAGTTTCATTGAAAGTTTCGCAATTTACTGAAAATTTCGCATAAATTTCACATGCAGCCTCCCCTGGGACCTTTAATAATAATTTACAACAGATTCCGAATCGACCAATAAGAACGAGTTATCAAGCGTCTGGGCGTTTTTGTTTAGTTCGGCTTGGATTTGAATACACTATAAGTAATTATTGTTACTTATATGCATAAATTAATTTAAATAATTTAATTCAGTTACCAATTTAATTTGTAAATTAAATCAGAATTTAAAATTTTTTTAAAAGTCATGATTAATTTAAACTTTTACTTTTGCTATAATTGCATCGGAAAACGGATAAAAAATGCCTTTGGCTCATAAAATTTTGATGAAGTTTCTTCAATTCATCAATTTTCATAAAATTTCAGTAAAATATATAAAAATAATAAATATATATAAATATAAAACAATGAAAGTGGCACAATCTCATTAGCTTACCAAAAAGTGCTATATCTCTCTTAGTTTTAGTAATTTTAAAAATATTTTAAAAGGAAATCTCAAGAAATTTGTGGTAAACATAGGTATTTACTATTTATATTATTGGTGCCGGGGCCCACAGAGGGGTAAGAGGTAAGAGAGGCAATTTGCCATGGTCCCCGAGTGGGCTTATTTCAATATTAATATACAGGGTGTTATGTAATTAATGTTATATATTAAAATACTGAATACCTTTTGACATAAGGAATAAAGGAAAAATATTTAAAAAAACATTTTTCCAAAGATAAAGAAAAAATATGCATTAGAAGTTTTTTATATTTTTTGTGATACGCCACTGGTTACACACTTGTTTATCTCTGCACACCTGTATTTTGTGAGTACATAGATACCAACCAACAAAGTAGCTATGCGTTGCCAGATGTAAAAAATTGTTACTAAAAATTTTTCTTGCAAAAAATAAATAAAAACTCAATAAATACAAAAGTTTTATGCCCTTAAAGCTCTAATACCCTTATGTATTTATTTACTGATCCAGCTATTAGCTTAAGCAATGATTAGAAAATTTAGTACCTTTGAAATTTGAAATCCATAACCACAAAATTAATTTTTTCATCAGTTTTTTTCTCTGTTTATTCAGATGAAATTGGGACCAGTTCACAGGTTAAACTTTAAACATTTAATTTGTGTAAATAAATCCAAAAGCACTTCCCTTAGTTAAGATATTTACAATTTGAAAACATAACCTAAAATTTAAAAGAAATGCACTAGATTCTGTCATAAAAGTTGGCAGATTTTGTTTGAATTTACCTTCAGTACAAAAATGACAAAACCAACAATTAATAAAAACGCCAAATTGACAATTTGCATTGTTACCAACCATAACATAATAAATCCACCAGATTAACCTAAAGTTCCTAATCGATCAGTGGCGTGACTTTTTGGTTGGATAAAGGTTATTATAAATTATTTTTAGACTTTGGAATTTAGAAAAAAAAAGTTTCAGGTGCTTCTTTATGGACCCCAAGGAACAACCCATTTTAATATATAACATTAATTACATAACACCCTGTATTACACTTAAAGTGATTGAAATTTATTGAAAGTTTCAATAAATTTCATGAAATTTCAGACATTTAGGAAATTTCATAAATGTCGTGAAAATTTCAAGTGAAATTTCAAGTCCAAGCAAAAAGTGAAATTTTCCCAACCCTAACTATAATTTATCGACAAATTTAAAATTTTATTTAAAAAATCCAAATATTACTGGTTTTATACCATTTTAAATATTTTTTTATTTTAATAAAATAAATAATAAAAATTTAAAATCGAATAAAATCTGTAATATTTGGATTTTTTTAATAAAATTTTAAATTTGTCGATAAATTATAGTAGATAATAAATTGCACCACTTTAATTTGAATTATCTCAAATTGGGGGGGCTGGAGGCGGGTGAGGCGACAGGAAAAACTAACTTTTTTCGCAAACTTCAAATTAAATTCTGTTTGCGCCGAACTTGTTTATTTAATGTCATTATAAACTATTATAAATTTGGTGTGGGTCCCACGTCTAATAACTGAGATATTGGTATACATATACCTAATATTGGGTATACATATACCTATACATATTGGTATACATATACCTAATCCACCAGCCGCCACTGATGGAAGAGTAAATGTTAAAAATACAATCTTTTTTCTGACCCGCTTAGAGGTTTTTAAAATTGAATTTTGATTTTATTACTTAAATGTGTTGGGACTATAAAAAAAATATCTTTTATTAAATTATTTAATTTAAATACTCCTAAAACAAAATTATATTTTAAATATCTCGAAACTGACCATAAATTATATTTATACAAGGTGTTTCTACTTAAAATGAACAATGAAGCATATAATACATATTATTTATTGAGATTGAGTTTAACCTTGTAGTAGTGGCGCCTTATATTTAACATTGGTGGTGGCGCCCGGCCTGTCAGGCCCGTAAATTTAAAAAAATCCTATTTATGCTAGTATTTTTTCTTTGTGAATTTTGTACTTTTAATTTATTACTTAATCCTATTGTGACCAAGGTCACTGATTTTTTTTAACAAAAAAACCTCATATGTTTGAAATATAAGGTTAATTTTATGGGGACAGGATTATAAGGTGACATAATATTATTTCACAAAAAACTAAATAAAAAAATTATTCTACCAAAAATAAACAAATGGTTTATAAGCTTGAATAACAAAATATCGGATTAAACGTGGTTTTGACTTTTTTCCACACAATTATGACACATAATTTTGGCATGGGTCATACATAGACATTTTTGGCTATAAAGTGTGTGATCCTGCTGTCTATGCGACATTCTGCAACCCTTTTTCTGGTCCCAGGGGGAATTAGTTGAGGTTCAACATTATCGGCAGAAGTCCCAGCTACTTCTTGTCGCCTTTGACGTACCTCAGTTGGTAAATTTTGTTCCATAGAACGGCGTTTCAAATGCTTCCACTAGGACATAGCGACGTTCTTCAAGAGCCTTAGCATTAATAATTTGAATTATTAGCAGTGTGTATTTCTTGGGCATTTATTCCAGCCACATTCATTAGCCCATAAAATATGACCATATTTGATAGAATAAATTAAAAAATATGCTAAATAATTAATATACCACAAAATAGTCGTAAAGCATAAATGGTGGCGCCCGGCCTTTCAGGCCGTTTTAGGTTATAACTTTTTAAGTTTGAACTGTAAGTAAATAAACATTGCACTACACCTTTCTACGCAAAAAGTTAGGAAGGTACTGAAAAATACAGAGTTGCCTCTTAATTATTTTCATAATTATCCGTTAAATAAGATCGCTTGGGCCTGTTAGGCCGTGCGCCACCAGTAAAAGGTTAAAAAAGTATACATTTTAATTATGATTTTTTAATTTAATTATTATACATAATATGGCAAATGACACTTCCAAGTTTTTACAGGCAAAGCAGGTTTTTCTTGATATTTTTTACAAATTTTTTCCCACTGCAACTCTGAAGGACTAAAAATTGCCTTGGATCTTAAATTTCCCTTCACTGTTTCAAGTTCCTAAAATATAACATAAAGCTAAAAAAATATACCCAAATAAAACAAATGTTACTTTTAATAACATTGAATTCCTTTCAACTGCCTCCTGAGATGTTAAAATTTCGGTGTTTCCCAATATTTCCGTTTTTTTTTCATTATTTTCAATGGCGCCAACTAAATTCCTTAAAAGCATCAACAATTTAATAACTTTAATATCAAACATGCACGTACTTTTCTTTTATCTTTTGTTCAATAAGATCCTCATCTTTTTTGTATTTATTTAGAATTTCCTCAATCTCGTAAATCGGCATTATTTTTTTTATTTGTAGGTATTTGATTTGCCTGGCAACCAACTTAATCTTGTTTGTTCTGTCTTGTATGTAATGGTGGTTGCGAACTTAATAAGTTGGCTACTCTAACTCACAATACCAACATATTAAATAGCTAAATATTCATTAATTTAAATATTTTCATTATTTACACACCGATAAGTAAATCCCGTGCTTAGTCTTACATGTAAATACAATATAAATCATATTACAGTATTAAATAATTGTTCAATATATTGTGGTTTTACAAAATTTGCTTTGTTGTTGTTTTTGCTGTCAATTAACTGTCACATCTAAAACTAATTTAAATTAAATTGGCGTTTAAAAAAGTAGTAAAATAAAATGGGTATTATTTTCGGCAAGAAAAAACCTCCTAGTAGGATAACGCAGCAGGATAAAGCCATATTGGTGAGTTTTTAAAATGTTAGGTTATGTTGTCGTAATTTTGGATTATTTTAGCAATTAAAGCAACAAAGGGATAAAATGAAGCAGTACCAGAAGCGTATCGAGCAGACTTTGGAGAAAGATAAGCAATTGGCTAAAGATCTGCTCGGAAAAGGTCAAAGAGAGTATGTGATGTTGAACTTTACGTTGTTGTGTGTTTAAAGGTGTTTTTAGGCGCGCAAAGTTGCTGTTGAGGAAAAAACGTTTCCAAGAGCAGTTGCTGAAGAAAACTGACGGCCAGTTGGAGAATTTGGAGCGCATGACACACGATATAGAATTTGCACAAGTGGAGTTGCAAGTTATCGAAGGTCTTAAACAAGGTAACGAAGCTTTGAAAAAGGTGAACGACGCGTTGAATGTCGAGGATATCGAGAGGATTATGGAGGAAACCAGAGAGGGAGTGGAAAAACAGGAGGTAAAGTTGTGTTATTAATATTATTGACTTGGTGTATTGTGGATGTTTTTTTAAGGAAATTAACGCCATTTTGAGCGGCAATTTGACGCAAGAGGATGAAGACGCCGTCGAAGATGAACTGGCTGAAATTTTGAAACAAGAAATGCCTGAAATACCTACAGAAAAACCTGATGTTATTGAAGAAGGTGAAGACGTTGAAATGGTTGAAGAAGAGTCTCCCAAAAAAGGTATGTTAAGATTATTTATTGTTTTACTCTGAAAACAAAATAAAATAATTTATTTTGCAGGAAAAACCAAAGAAAAAAAGAAAGAGGCTGTTCCTTTGGAGGCCTAGAAATAAAAAGTGGCTGTATTGTATAAAAACGACTTACTTTTAGTTTTATATGTTAACTCATAACCATAAGCAAAAAAATAATTTTTTATAAATTTTAGAATGTTTTATTAGGTGTATAATAAAAAATACAAACAATTTTGCAAATGTATAAAAAATAGTTAAAATGTTAAAGCTGTAGTGAAATACGGGAAAAAATAATTAAAGACCCAACTCTGCCTCCTCTTCAGCTGTCAATTCGGTGGCCAAATGCTCGCTGTTAATTTTGAAGCCCAAATCACTTTTTAGGTTATCCCTGGCCAAACCGTACTCCTCGATGTCAAGATCGTCATCATCCCTGTTGTAAGTCCCATCTCTTATTTTTTTGTTGCTCTTTTCCGGTTTTTTAACCTGTTGATCCGGCGGTGTTGTCAAGTCGCCGTCGTAGTTGATAACTTGGTTATGCGCTATACGCCACTCCAAAACTTCAGTGGAAAAATCGTCCCGATTGCCCAGTTGGGAGAAACCCACTATTTTGTCGACCATAACGCTGTTTTGTATGAGTACGATGGACGGGATTGTTTTGATTCTGAGTCTTTCCGCCAAAAACGGCGATTTTTCTGCATTCAATTTAGTGAATAAGGTTTCAACGTGTTTAGGTGCCAATATCTTCAAATGTTTATTGACAATCTCGCACCTGGGCGAATTTTGCGTGTAAAAATGTATAACGATATTCTCACTCTTCTTTATAATATCGAAAAACATCTTTTCTTCCGCCAATTCCTCATACTTTCCATGCCCGTTCAACATCCACTCCCGTTTCTTACCCTCCAATTTCCTCAACTCATCCACGCGCGCTTTCCTTATTGCCTCCAAATCATTCACATCCAAATTATCGATCAGTTCGATAGTCTGATCGATTTGCTTTTCAATTTGTTTTGTCACATTCAACAATTGATTTTCCAAAGCGTCCATTTTATCGTTGAAAATTCAAGAATTATACGTTATTTAAGCGTTTTGGGAGGAAAACAACAGCTCACGGTAGTTTGTGCAGGCTTTCCAAACGTATTTTCAGCGAAAATTCAGGTTTTTCTGAACGGGTGTTTACGAATTTGACGTGGCTGTCAAAAAAGAAAATCTAACCTCCCACGGAAACAACTCTACCAACATATATGAAGCCTCCGTTAATACATCATAGTCGCTACGTTTTTTCCTTAAAATGTCTATCTATAAATATTAAATTAATATTTTAATTATTGTTTGGTAAAAATAATTATATAACCCTAATAAAATTTGCATATCGTCGCCTTCAGGAGAAAATCACGTAACTCCACATTTTCATTAAAATTGTATTTTAGTGGCATCTGTTAGATAAAACTGTAACTAATTTATATGCAAGTTACAGAAGTCCTAAAATAAACCGTTAATTTTAAATTTAGAAAAAGAAATATACGTATCTCCAATCGTGGAGGAGCGTCCAGGGAATAATGCCTAACTCCAATATACAAATCAGTGCCATTGACAAGTATAAGTTATTGCCTAGTTATTTTTTCTGTATGTAAGTATGAAAGATTGTATAGTGTGTAAAGTTAAGGTACCATGAATAATTTAAGGTTACTTTTATTAACATAAAGTACATATTGGAGATACGTAATTTTCCATTAAACAATTTTTTGGCGGTAATGTGGAGATACACCAATGCACCTTTAATATGTTTTTCTTTCCTCCTGTAAAATTTTACAACATGGAGTTAAGCAATTTTCTCCTGAAGGCGACGATATCTTGTATTATACGACCTTAAAATTCGAATTTTTACTTTTTAGCAGAAGGGGGCGTTGCTTAATTGCTCCAGTTGGCTGCACTGTTCTCTTCAGAAGATCGCACATGACACTTTGAGGTTATGTTTACGTAAAATGTCAACAAAAATCGGCGATTTTGCGATTCCGGGCGACTTATTCACGGAAATAAAGTCGCACAAAGGGGTAACGATAGTCGGGCCTGGGCTGCGTCGCAACGAAGAGCGTCCAAACAGTTTGTTCATAACGCAACCGGGTAAATTGTGTTTTAAGGCGCCTAATGTGTACTGGATAGAAGGGAGAAGGAAACGTTATATACCAAAGAAGGGTGATTTGGTGGTTGGTATTGTCACAAAGAAAGCTGGAGATACGTTGAGAGTTGATATTGGTAGTGCTGAATTTGCCTCGTTAAGCCTGTTGGCGTTTGAGGGTGCTACAAAGAAACAAAAACCCGATGCCCAAGTGGGAGATTTGGTTTATGCCAAACTATTGAATGCTCATAAAGAAATGGAGCCCGAGTTGGTTTGCATTGACTCGTACTCGAAGGCTGGGCGGTTAGGTTTGCTGTCAAACGAAGGTTTTTTGATCAACTTAAGTCCCTTGCAAGCTAATAGGTTGTTGGATGTGGATAATAATCCTTTACTAAGGACTCTGGGAAGGAAATTAGTGTTTGAAATTGCTGTGGGGGTCAATGGGAAAGTCTGGATTAACGCTAAGAAAACTAAGGATGTTTTTACCATTATCAAAAGTTTAGAGTTGGCTGAGAAACATAGTGATAAAGATATTATGCATTCTTGTAGAAAAATTAAATAAATTGTTAGTTTTTACGTCTTTTTTGTTTTATCTGACATCTGTCAGACGGTTTTAACCTCACTTTTTTTTTCAATTTGACATCTGTCACATGGTTTACATCTCACTTTAAAGCACGGTCGCATTTAATAAACTAAAATGTCAAAAATTATGACAGATGTAGTATTTTTAAATTTACTCAATGCTTTAACCTCAAATTTTGTGCAAATTTTCTGGATTTAAGACACAACAGAGTTAAAAGTACCTACAAGAAGATTCTAATGTTTAAAATTTAGTTGTTTTTTATGGATTTGTCGGCTTTTGAAACAATAAGTGAGTAATACAGAGAACCATTAATTACTAATTAAAATAGTTATCTTATCTTGTGTGCACTAAGTATATAGGTTCACAAATTACAATTTAAAGTAGGTAGATAATTACCTAGGCATTTTATGTGGAAAAATAAAAACGAAAATATTGCTTTATTTGCGACAACCTTGAACATACAGCTGTATTTTTTCAAAATTGACCGAGCACTCTTACCTTGGCTTTGAAGGTGTTCGCGTTTTTAGTCTACAACCGTCAAATTACAAGTATTAAATTAAAAACGCGAACAAAGTCCACAGGTTCGTAAAATTTCTAATTCACAGCGATATATAGCATCTAGTGACGTAACAGAATCAGATGTGCTGATTCACTCGTCGGGTATAGGCGGTGTCAAATAATTCAGTTAAATCCGTTAAAACAAACTTGACATTCTGTGATTGATACCGAAATGAGTGGCTTAACTAACGGTTGTGGAGGTCAGTGAAAATGCTTCAAAAAAAGCTTAATCTTTGATTGGTTTTTTATCGCAATCAATTGTCCTAACCCTACTTTACCGTTGTTTTTTTTTATACAGGTGGCAGTCCGAACGAAGGTTTCGAAGAAATCACGATACCCGTTCCATGGGGACACATCAGTGGTAAATAGTTATTTTTATTTGCATTTTATTTTAATTTTCAGTAATGATTCCAAAAGGTTAATTTAATAATTTGGAAACTGTTTTTTATGTTAATTTGGTTTATTATCATGCACAATGGGAGAGAAATTATATTTTGTAGGTACAACTTGTAATTAAACTAAACCGTTTTAACAGAAACTGGTTCATTTAAATATTAATTACCTAGGTAGCTACCTAAACATTGCTCTATTATTATTTCTTAATTTGATCCGTTTGAAGTGTATTTTAAAATAATATTTTATTGTTTTATACCACTGTGCCCAGTAAATATTATAGAGTATACGGGTGATTTCTAAATGTTTTTTGAGTAGAATCAGGGACCCGGACCCAAATGAAATAACGGTTTCTGTCCGGTCCAAGAGAAATGACAAGTTTCGGTTCCGGTTCAATTACGGTAAAAAAAAAAATAAAAATAAAAATCTTTTCGGTCCGTACGGTTTTTTTTCGGTTCCAATTTTTTAACATGTATAAATAAAAGATGAAAAATTTATTTCTTTTTTGTATTTTTTTTGGCATGTAATTAAATTCCTTCCTCTTCTTTTTTTTTAATCAGGTTCATCAATTTTAGGCCCTAAATTCTCTTTTTCTTTACTTTTATTCCCTATCGGCTGGCTACCTTTATCTTTTTCTTCTGATCTTGTGATTAATAAACTGGAAAATTCATATTTAAAATAAGTTATCCAAACATAAAAAACTTTTATGTTAGATCTTGTTGAGGGAAGTAAAAATTTGAGACCAGAAAACAGCCTTTCAACGCTTACTTAAGTCGATTTCATATAGATGCGAACTATTTTAGTCCCTAAAATTTAGGGACATTTAGTCCCTAAAATTTAGGGACATTGTTTTCTCACTAGGCGATATTTGCAATGCTATTTTTGGACCAAAAATGTCGGTACTTAAATAGTAAAGTTAGTTAAGAAAAAACTGCAACTCTAAGTTAAGAAAATAGAAAACTACATAAAGGTAAAATAAGAAACATTACTGTACCTCAAAAAACTATTTGTTCATTATAAAAAATAAAAAAACTCCAAACAATTATTTAAAAAGTTAGAATAAAACTCAACAATGGCGTAGGTATGATAAGAAATTGCATGAGAAACGCATGCGCATCACTTCAAATTAGTGGGATTTTCGCATAATATTGGATCAATTTCAAGATTCCCGCCCCTAGATTTCGAATCTTGCGAATTCGTTGGATCTGTCGAAACCTCGAAACGCTTTTCCCGCCAAATCAAATGAAAACATTTTTCGCATTTCGCAACTGTATGAAACCGACTTTACTTTTGTTGCTGGTGTCATATGTATACATAATAGTGGGCAACACTGTAATTAATAAGTCCCCACTACAAATGTAACTACCACCCATGCTAGTCATTTTAATAAATCAGTCTTCAACACAGAGGTGGTCTGTGGTCTTCAACATACTGTGGTATTATTTACTTCATGGCACAGTCGGTAGGATAATTTCAAGATAATTTTTTTTTTCAATAAAGTTATTTTTATTTACATTTACAATAATTATTTATACAACATTTACAATTGTTATTAACACATCAGGAACCCCTAACAATACTTGGCTAGAGTGTATAATTTATAGATTTATAGCCCGTGCTCAAACATTGTTTTGCAAAAACTAATTTTGGTATTGCGCAAAACCAAAATGATTGATACATAAAGATAAGTCTTACTGCCTCGGTTGGAACATTGTAGAATTTTGGGGACAGGTAAAGTTTGTTTTTTTATTCGGAATTTGATACATTTGATTATGTTGGTACAGTATTTCAATATAGTTTGGTATTTTTAATATTTAAAATTGGTACTCCTGTTCAATGCCTTAATTTTACTTTAACAATTATTATTTAATTTTTTTCATTATAATCAGCAATGCCAAAGATAAAAGAAAATTCTAAACAAAAAGAGGTCGTTAAAAAATGATTTTTTAAACTAGTTTTAATAGGTATATTTCTTGGCAGGAAAATGGTGGGGGCCCAGGGATACGCAGCCAATCATAGCAATCCACGGTTGGCAAGACAACTGCGGATCGTTTGACAGTTTGGCGCCAATTTTAAAAGAAAAGGGTCTATCGATATTTTGCGTCGACTTACCTGGACACGGTTTGTCGTCTCATATACCTCTGGGTCAATTTTACTACATTTTCTGGGACGGCGTGCACTTCCTAAGACGCATTGTTATGCACTTCAAGTGGAGGCAACCCATAGTGGTTATAGGTCATTCCCTAGGAGGCGGAATAGCGTTTCTATACGCCGCCGCCTACCCCGACGGGATAAAAAAATATGTGAGCATAGACATTGCCAGTCCCAGTGTGCGGACCCCGGAGAAAATGGTGGGGTTGATGGGGCCGTGCGTCGACAAATTTTTGTACTACGAAACGCTTCCCGAAGACAAAATGCCGTGCTACGAGATGAACGAGATGCTGGACATTTTGATGGATGCGCACACTGGGTCCGTCACCAGAAAAGGGTGCGAGTTTTTGCTGAAAAGAGCCATAAAACCGGCGAAAAACAAACCGAATCACTACACTTTCACGAGAGATGCCCGCTTGAAAGTGTCAACTCTGGGGTTCTTCTGCATCGATCAGGTTCTGGAGCTGGCCAAAAATATCAAATGCGAGGTTCTTAATATTCGGGGAAACCCCGGCCTTAAATTTGATGTGCCTGAGAACTACGACTTGGTACTTAACGAAATTGAAAAAACTGCCAAAAAACTGGAAAGGCATGTGGTTGATGGCACCCATCACCTTCACTTGAATGATGGTAGCTGTGTGGCCAATATAATTCATAAATTTATAATTTCATAGACAAATTTAAAAAAAAAACTAGACAAAGCAGTTACTTTAGGTATTTATTGGTACTACTTACTTATATTTGATCTTCTATATTTTTTTACACTTCCTACGTTATATTTTTAGGTAACGCACTATTTTGACGGTATTATTATTAAAGACATTAGTTTTTTACTTGTTTTTTTTTTTTTAAGAAATACACATTTGGAACATAAATTGTTATCTATCTATAGGACTAAATAAATTCCATGTTATTTAATTTCTATTTATTCTGTATTTATATACTATAAATAAAATTGTTAATATTTTAAAATTATGTTTTCTTACTTGTGTTTTATTTGCTACATATTTTTTCATCCCACTCCAGATGGGAAAAAAAGTGTATAGAAACAAATCATGAGGCAAATGGTATGTTTCATATGATATATAAAAGGTTTTGTAGAAAAAACAATTACAGGGTGTTATGCATACAATTATAATTAATAATTAATACCTACATAAGTACAAATTTTTGTACTACGAAACGCTTCCCGAAGACAAAATGCCGTGCTACGAGATGAACGAGATGCTATACATTTTGATGGATGCGCACACTGGGTCCGTCACCAGAAAAGGGTGCGAGTTTTTGCTGAAAAGAGCCATAAAACCGGCGAAAAACAAACCGAATCACTACACTTTCACGAGAGATGCCCGCTTGAAAGTGTCAACTCTGGGGTTCTTCTGCATCGATCAGGTTCTGGAGCTGGCCAAAAATATCAAATGCGAGGTTCTTAATATTCGGGGAAACCCCGGCCTTAAATTTGATGTGCCTGAAAACTACGACTTGGTACTTAACGAAATTGAAAAAACTGCCAAAAAACTAGAAAGGCATGTGGTTGATGGCACCCATCACCTACACTTGAATGATGGTAGCTGTGTGGCCAATATAATAATTCATAAATTTATAATTTCATAGACAAATTTAAAAAAAACTAGACAAAGCATATACTTTAGGTATTTATTGGTACTACTTACTTATATTTGATCTTCTATATTTTTTTACACTTCCTACGTTATATTTTTAGGTAACGCACTATTTTGACGGTATTATTATTAAAGACATTATGTTTTTTACTTGTTTTTTTTTAAGAAATAGATACACATTTGGAACATAAATTGTTATCTATCTATAGGACTAAATAAATTCCATGTTATTTAATTTCTATTTATTCTGTATTTATATCCCAGACCGCAAAATTACATTCCCTGCACATGCCAGGAATATTCCCAGGAATATTCCAATCGTCCCAGAATGTTCCCAGGAATATTCCTGGCATAATCAAATGTCCGCTTTTTGATTAACCCAGGCATCATAAAAAGAATATTCCATATATCTGCCTGCAGAAGACTCAAGGATTATTAGGGGAATATTCCTTGATATAATTTGGGGATTATTCCCAGCCCATATTGCCTCTTATACCCAGGAACTTAACTTAAGTATAACTTATTAAGTATAGCCATTATTGAGTTACTGAGTAGATCAGTCCCACTCTAATCATTGTTTGGCTGTGCCATCACAGACGCACATCTCCAACTAATATTATTAACCTATCGGTATATATAGTTATCAAGCGTGCGTAAGCAACGGTGAGAGGTATTGCAACTAAACTAATGAATATTCACTGGGAATATTCTTAGATGATGCTTGGAAGTTTTAGAGGATCATTCTAGGAATATTCCCAATGAATATTCCTACAATGAAGCGGAATATTCCTAGGCGATACGGAATATTCCTGGAATATTTTCGAACCTTCATTGCAGTCTGGGATACTATAAATAAAATTGTTAATATTTTAAAATTATGTTTACTTACTTGTGTTTTATTTGCTACATATTTTTTCATCCCACTCCATATGGGAAAAAAGTGTAAATTGAAAAATTTATTTTATGAAAGATAATTGAAGACTCAATAGAAACAAATCATGAGGCAAATGGTATGTTTCTTAATAATTTCATATGATATATAAAAGGTTTTGTAGGAAAAACAATTACAGGGTGTTATGCATACAATTATAATTAATAATTAATACTTACATAAGTGGTAACGAAAAAATATTTAAAAAAATATATTCCCAAAGATAAAGAGAAAATAGGTATGCATTAAAAGTTTTTTATATTTTTTGTTATACGCCACTGGTTACACACTTGTGTTCTGTGAGTAGGGTTTTAAAATTTCCGAAAAAATTGACCCGGCGGAAAAAAACGGTTTTTTTTTAAAAAAAAACGAAAAAATTGGGAAATTTTCAGAAAAAATGAGTTATTTTTTTAACTTTTATTCAAAGGGTAATACAAAAAAATGCAAGTCAATTTTTTTAAAATTTTCCAAATTCTTACGGATAGTATCCGTACACTGATCGAGAAAAAAGTGAATTTCCGACGCAGATTATTATCATAATATGATTATCATATAATATTATGATTATAAAAATTATTCCTTTTATTTTAATTCAGTAAGTATATTCTAAAATTTTTAGACTAAAAAACGGTGCTATATTAACATAACTTTTATTTACCACTTCTATTTATGTAATAGTGAGTTATTTTATTCTTATATAAAATTACTATATTAATTTTAAAATTATACGTGGCAAAGAACACTGATTTAGAGGTTTAGGATTTCGAATGTGTACGTTATCGGCAAGCCGTCGAAGGCGGCTCGATTAGGTAACTTGATACTTCGAAGAGACCGTTAATAAATTCATACTTTTCATAAACAAATCGACCCCAAATATTAAGCGCATTTTCTATAAGATCAGTCTAAAAGTCGCAGTGTGTTGTTTTATGTGCTTTGTTTTGGGTGAAGTTTGAATATTTTGGTGAGTTTTCTCACAGAGCGTACTAATTTTATTTTTAATATTAGGTACCATTTTAAAATTATTCATTTACCTATTGTTTCTATTTATTTATCTATTATTTATTAAGGGTTTATGCAGGCTAAACCTATTAAATTATTTAACAGTATTAAATAAAAACTAAACGGATAATAAACTAGAAATCATTCATTAGCTAGCATTTAAAAGGTTATTTATAGACTTAAGGCATTTAAGGATAAACGGCACTGTCTTTTAGGTTTGTGCTAACTATCTAGTGACAGGGTACCTCACGCGTCATCCCTTGGTAGTCACTGCACGTTCACTATAGTTAGTGCTATTGTCTAGAGTGGGTACGTCGCGCGTTTTCCCTTCGTACTCGTGTGCACAAATAATTGAGGAGCGTTTATTCAAAAAGGGACATGTCCATTTTAGCGATTTGCAGAAATAAGTCAAAAGCAAAGGAATTCTGTTATTTTTGACTTGTTTCTGCAAATCGCTAAAATGGACATGTCCCTTTTTGAATAAACGCTCCTCAATTATACTCTACATTAGCGAGTTTGTCATTATAATGTATATATATAACTTGTCTTGCGTATCTTTTTGGCTGCTAGTTGAATTTCCCAGATAATCGATTAACTAATAAACAAGATTAATTTTGAAAATCAAGAATATTCTCTTAAATACAATAAAATTATTAAAACTACCAATTATACTAGAAATTAGTTGCTCAGGTAGTTTAAAATCAAATTAGTTTATTTGTAAGTACTTTATTTTTATTATTTTACATTTATTTTAATATATATATAATATAATATATTATATTAAAGATATCTTTATGTATTTTGCTTTTAATTTTATTCTGCGCCCTAATTTAAAACTTTAACCCCACATTTATAAAATTATAATTTAACTTTATAAATCATTCATTTCTTATAGTTAGATATTTTTAATGGACTCCTTTTTGCAACAAAAAACCCAACAGGCAGTATATTTAAATTTAATTTAATGTTTAGTTTCATTTTATTTAAAATATTGTTAACTTGTTTGACACTTTTTTTCAAATTCAAAAAATTCAATCTTTCCAAGGTTGGGAAAAAAACGGAAAAAAGTTTTTCCCCAATTTTTCCGGTTTTTTTCCGACACTGTAAAACCTTATATCTGTGAGTACATACCGATACCAACCGACAAAGTAGCTGTGCGTACCAGTTGTAAAAAATGGTTACTAAAAATTGTTCTTGCAAAAAATAAATACAAAAGTTTTATGCCATAAAGGCTTTAATTTAAAGCTCTAATACCTTTCTGTATTTATATACTCATCCAGCTATTAGCTTAATCAATGATTAGAAAATTTAGTACCAATTTTAAAATCTCCATTACCACATAGATATTTTTTTCATCGTTTTTTTTTCTGTTTACTCGGTTGATATTAGGACAAGTTTACAGGTTTAACTTTAAACATTCAATTTGTGTAAATAAATCCAAGAGCACTTCCCTTGGTTAAGATATTTACAGTTTGAGCACATAACCAAAAATTTGAAAGAAATGCACTAGATCTGTCATGCATTCATTACAATAATGACATAATCAACAATTAATAAAAACGCCAAATTAACAATTTGCATTGTTGATTTTGTTATTTTTGTAATTAATAAATTTAAACAATCTGGAAACTTTTTTGACAGAATCTGGAAACGCTGGTTGTTACCAACCATTACATAATAAATTAAATTAGGCAACGAAATTAGCCTAAAGTTCCTTATCGATCAGTGGCGTACTTTTTGGTAGGATAAAGGTTATTAGGTATAAATTATTTTTAGAGTTTAGAAAAAAGTTTCAGGTGCTTCTTTATGGACCCTAAGGAACTACCCATTTTAATATATTACATTAATTACATAACACCCTGTATAGGAAAAAGTCCAATTTTGCATAAATATTAAAATACTTTCGAAAGTTTAGGGACACACTGTTTAACTAAAATTTAAAACAATTATGTGTAGGCGTGCAAAAAATATTCTGCGAATAACAGTTTGTTCCAAAAAACATCCCAAAAAAGTGTAATATTTTTTGCTTCCTTTTACAAATCGACAGAACGCGTGTTTCCACTTCAGTATAGAGTTAACAGTGTTTCGAGCAAATTCATTTATTATTTTCCTGTGATTTAAAATGTTATTCAAATTTGAATGCAAAATTATTTAATCAACTTTCAATATAAGTTTACTTTGGTTGATAAAATGGGAAGTACAAGATGTAAAAGACACTGGAATATTCAAAGGTTAGTAAATTATTATGCAATTGCACTTACTTGTATGTGTGGTCACTGGACTTTTTATGTTAAATAAAATAGGTTTGTAATGTATTGTAAAAAATATTCATTGAAGTGTTCAAATGAGTTATTTGTATTAGCCGATAAAAGACCGGATATTATCTAAGAAATTTGACCCATTTTTCCATCAGGGAACCCATAAATTTTATTTATTAAGTACCATAAGCCATCTGAAAAGTTGTTTATTGTTTAGTCTGGCACAAGTTGTGTCTCCTTTTTATGTTTTAAATACGTATAAGTACCACTTGCCCTGCAAAACCTAGAGACGGGCCTGGTTACAATATCCATACACATCTTCAAACTTATTCAGTTTGGGTGAAGTTTCTATATCAAGTGTATGTAAGGTTGTTGTGTAAAAAAAATAATTACTAATACGAATTATTTTTATTTGATGATAAATAATATTTATTAGTTAAATTTTCTAATGGGAAGAAGAAATAGGAGGCTATACACTGATGGAAATGGACCCTTAGAATATACCAACACGATTTCTCCATTTATTCAGGACTTTAACTGGCCTAAGGTTAGTAAAAAATACACAATAAGATCTTATAAGTTATAACATATTAAGTTATATTATATGGCAGCTGGTGAATTTTGGCACACCCATATCTCAGTTATTAGACATGGGACCCACATCAAATTTATATGAGTTTATAATGACATTATATAGACAAGTTCTGCGCAACCCAACCCAACCCCCATCCTCCTGCCCCTCCAAATTAAGATAATTCAAATTAAAGTGGTACAATATTTAATTCACTAAAGTTTATCGACAAATTTCAAATTTTATTACAAAAATTCAAGTATTACAGATTTTATACTATTTCAAATTTTTTTAAATTTAAGAAATAATAAAAATTATAAATGGTATAAAACCTGTAATTCTTGAATTTTTTTAATAAAATTTGAAATTTGTCGATAAACTTCAGTGAATTAAATATTGTACCACTTTAATTTGAATTATCTTAATTTGGAGGGGCAGGAGGCTGGGGGTTGCACTTAAAAACTAACTTTTTTTCGCAAACTTTAATTTAAATTCTGCTTGCGCAGAACTTGTCTATATAATGTCATTATAAACTCATATAAATTTGATGTGGGTCCCATGTCTAGAGATGCGACTTGAAAAAAAACGCTCCGTTTTTTTTTGTTTTTTTTAGTTTTTTTTTTCATTGGTTTTTTTCAAATGGTTTTTTTTCACATTTTAGGTTTTTTTTCAAGATTAGTCCCATTTGCCTAATTTTTTATGTTTCCATGGACTAAAATTAGCCACTAAATGACAATTAGTAAATGTAAATACAGTCTCGCGCTATGCACGCGCCACAACCATCGATTTGACCAATAAGGGCCGCGCTTGTTTTGATTTGATCCTAAAAAAAGTAACTACATGTAATATTTTTATTCAGCGCTTGATTTTTCAAAAAGTTACCAAAAGCACTTTTTTCATGATTTTTCAAATTTATGTAGAGTATGGAATTTTTTTTTCAAAAAACAATAGCAAATTCTTGTAGAAAATTTATTCATTGGTGGTTAAGTCAGAACATTCCGTGGACCAAAAAAGAAAGCAAAAAAAATCGATTTTTTTATTAAGGTACCTATTCGTTAGAATTGAGCGTTGCACGTTTTTCATCTAAAAATCGCAAAACTATAAACTTCAAGCTTCAACTTGCTTTTTTTACGGCTCCAATACGACCATTTTTAACAAAGATACAGCTATCCGAAAAATCGCAAAAAAAAAATTTATCCTTTCATTTTTTAGTCTTGGTCAAAATTTTCAATAATGAAAAATGTAATATATTCTACATTTTACTCAAAATTTCATTTTGAAAAAAAAAACAAAAAAAAACCGGTTTTTTTCTAGTTTTTTTTTCACATTTGAAAAAAAAACGTTTTTTTACATCTCTACCCATGTCTAATAACTGAGATATGGGTGTGCCCAAAATCCACCACTTGCCACTGAGTTATAATATATTATGACGATAATATTTAATTAAAACGAAGTAATGACATATATAAATAATTTTTGAACGCTGGTTAATTTTAATCTTTTAAGAACCGCCAACTCTTTGCCGCCTCCCGACAAAGGGCGGCGGTTCTACTGTAAAAAAGGCGGCTCGGCTTTTGATCGCTTTCATTTTAGCCGATTTTGGTTTTGATATATTTACGGGCTTCTTCGAATTTATTCAGTTTAAGCGAAGTTGTCATGCTGAGTGTATGTCGTGAATGAAAAATGGAAAATAAAGAGAATATTATGGATTTGACACAAATAAGGTATCAGAAATCTTGTCTTGGCTTTATAGAACTTTGATTAAGTTTCGATCTGAAATTGATGCTTAGTTTTGTAAATTACAATTTGGTACTTTGATTAAGCTTCGATCTGAAATTGATGCTTAGTTTTGTAAATTTCAATTTGGTAGAGAAAATATTTAATAATATTAATATTATTGATTAAGAAACTCAACGCTTATGTACTTATATAGTTACGTTAGTGTGCACACATGTGTGTATTTTATCCAAGTGATCATTGTGAATTATTGTGTTTTTAATAATTAGTATAAATGTAATTCAAGGACTAAATCGTTGCATTTTCACGTTTTGACAAAGGATCCAATTCGGTACGTATATTTGTTGGTACAGAATTAACTAATAATAACTTTACCTAATATAATTTATATTAAAGTTTGGACATTTTCAAGGAATTTAACAAAAAATAATAGTTAGTTGTATAACCTTTAAATCAAACATTTTTTTATTATTTTTTTTAGAGGACTCAAATTTTGAGTCCGACAAGTGCATTTTAAAATATTATAAACGAATTTATGGCAACACAATATTGTATATAACCCGTTTTTGTTTTTTTTACCGTTAAGATTTCTTAATCATCTCTTTTAATAATGAATAACGCAAAGATAATAAATCATAAAATAAGACGATTGAATTGTTTTATGATTTTCACAGCATCCGGATGGTCCAAAAAACAAATAAAAATAAAGAAGACTTTCTACCCTGTAACATTTTAAGTAAAGAACCATGTCAAACGTCTCATAAATTGCTTTTGTATATAATATGCCCTTAAGAGGGCCACCCACTTAGGGGGTTGGTGCATCTTTCCGTAAAAACTGAATTTATTGGATTTTAGTTTTTTAGTTCGTTGTTGAACACTCACGAGTGTAAAATAGTTAGTAAATTACTTTGACAACTAACCGTGTTTAATTATTATACATCTCTAACAATTGGCTCAGTGGCGGAGATTTGATAAGGGTTAGGTAAATGATTAAAACCTTGTTAAAGAGAGTTATAAATTAAATTATTTTTAAAACTTTTTAATTATAAAATTAACACAAATTTTCTGTAGCAAAAACAATAAGTAATTTATTAGATTTAATACCTTGCGTTCTTAGATTACACTAGCCGACAAAATGTTTGCCACAAAGTACCTAAATAGATGAAGCTAAAAAAATTTTGTAAATTTTATTATAAAGTGACACAAATTATCCAATTTTGGCTAAAAACGATTTTATTTTATTAAAAACAGGTTTTTTTAAAGGGTGCACCAAAATGATGGTCATTTTTGGAATCAGCCCAACCATGTGGCAAATTTGCTGTCGGCAAGTTCTGGAAACACGTGTTACCCATTAGACCAAAAACTATAATATTATAAATAATAGTTTTTTCTTCGTTGCAGCCAGGTCAAATCCCATACAGACAAGCTTTTCAAGATGTCCCCCAAATTCCTGGAAATCAAGTAACAATGTTTTCCGATACAGGAAATAATGGGCAATGGTAATTATTTTTATTATTACATTAAAGGATCACAACACAGTTTTTGCACATCTAACCTTACTTTAACGTGGTTTCAACCGCCAATAGCTTACGATTTGCCTTTTGAAAAAATACATGTAAACCATCCAAAACTTTTATTGGAGTGTTAAGGTTAAATTATTTACGTTAAACTGACAGATACATAATTATGGTTAACCTCAATTATAAAAAGTCACCCTGTATGTTAGAAACAAACCCACTTCTTTACTCAATGCCTACTTGAAATAATGTATACCCTTTTTTATTTAGAGGGTATTAAAGGTTTATAATTTCTGAAATGACACATATTGCGCCACCTAACGGAGATAAGACGAAGTTTGGTACAGGATTTAAGCAGGCCTTTATAATCTGTGTTAGTAACTAAGCAACGCTGTAAACAAAGAGACCTAGGTACGCCGCGGCGTAAGAAGTTTAAAATTTAATGGTTTAAATTTTTTTTAAAAGTGTGGTTTTGAAAAGTGTTGCGAGTTTAAAAATGTACCGATTTTAGATATTTGTGTTGTTTTTTTCTGGAAATGCATCCTTATAGTTTCAAATGCTTACCAAGGTAATTTAATTTATTTAATCTTATTTTTAATTTAAATAGTGCCTAATGGTTTTATTTTGTTAACCGATTCAATTTTATACTGACAATTATATTTATTTGACAAAACGTCAAATTATGGGTTAAATTCATAGATTTATTATATTAAGGTAGTATCTCCATTTGAAGACTTTTATAAATACAAAATTCAGCAGTGCCAATGTAGTAAAAACAAAACTTTGTATTTAATTAACAAAATTTAATTTCTACTTTATTATAAATTAAAGTATCAATAAATACAAAAATTAAGACAAAATTTAAGGTTTAAAACTCATATTTTTTTTGACATTGCTTTGTAATTTTGAAACTTGAGACTTACAACGTGGGCAGTTTTGTCATTAACGCTGACACCATAATGAGCACGTACAGTTAAATCATCATAATATTTCAAATATAAAATAAAATGTTATCAAGACAATTTAGTATGTTCTAAAATTTCTTCAGTGGTTTGCTTAAATTTTTATTACTGGAGCAAAGAGTTTGCCGGTAAAAAAATTGTCTTCATCGATAAAAACGTGAACTAAATGGTGATGAAAAATGGTCTTAAGTTATGACTCGACGATGCAATGCGATTTTTTGTGTTCACACTAAAATAGAACTTTTATTTTCATACATAGAGGGATTTACGAATTTTCAAACAAAAATTTTTGGTTGGTACCTACCTATTTTTATTTTTCCACTTAGGTAGTAATTTTCTGTATAGTACACTTCTTTGAATAAAAAACCTCAGAAAGGAATAAATGAGAAAATAGCTGACCGCACAGGGGGCTAACCAATTGGTCGCCACAAATGGCAGACTATCGTTTCCGCCAGCTATAACGTTTAATTCTTTGCAAGGTTTAATTATTAAACAACAAAAACGCATAGAACAAACTATAAGCGCTATTAAACAACAACAAAAACGCTATTAAACAAACCAAAAACGCTCAAACAGGTAAATAAACAAACACAAACTGTCATATGTCAGAAAAAATGACTCATAATCGGACTCCTAAAATGGCGACTTTCGTCGTAAATTTATTACATTAACGAGATTCGGCAGGGTCCTTCCTGAGGTTTTTTATTCAAAGGTACACTTTCAGTGGAACTAAGGTTAGGTATCTGTCACTTTCAGGAGGATTGAGGTTATTTATGTCATGCACTACTCTATCTGATTATCATGACGTCATGCTGCGTTGTCAAATTGTTTTTTTTAAGAAATTAACATTAGTTCCTAAAATTACCAAAGTGTTTTCCATGATACCCTGTATAATATATCTGGTAGCGTTAGGCGTGTGTGTGCCTCACATTTATAAGCATATTATTAATGTAAAACTTTTAACTTTTTAGTTAACTTACTTTTCTTTAGTTTCTGTGAAATATGACACATGACATTAAGTTAATTTTTTTATCTGGACTGCGGCAACGTTGCAAATTTAGGGTTTTGGTCGGTAAATACAGTTGTAAAGTTGGTCGCATTGATTAAAACAAACTAGCTAGTTATAAATCTAATTGTGGTTATGTATAAATTATTGTAGGTTACATTGTGCAGTTGTCAAGTTGAGTTGTCGAAATTCGTAGTTAAAAATACAATTAATTTGGCTTTCGTGGGGCTTGGATGAGTAAAATCATATAAAAAAGTAGTTAAATATAGGTTGCTTTACGGCCCAGAAAAGAATTTATATAAAAGAAATTAAAATTTTTTGTGAACGTAAATGTTGTCCAATGGTGAATAATGTGAAAATAATGTGTGATGTAATATTTATAAAACCAAATTCGTTTTTTACTCCATAAATGTCCATAAGACGATGTTCTTTTTCTTCCATTGTGGCATTTGGCATAATTTCATCAAAATGAAGTTTTGCCCTCAAAAAGGCTTTTACATTCGAATTCGTTGCTATTATTTTTTGCATAATTATATTTTTATTTATAATTGACAAGTAAATTATCAATAATAAATATTATTGTCAATTTGACAGTGTCAAAGTATTTAATTAAATTCTTTAGGAGAAGTACCATTTTTAAATACTAAAAAAACTATGTCAAACTGGCATAAGCCACCAACCTTACAAAAAAACACGAGTCCAGATAAAAAAAATTAACTGTATGTAAAAGATATCAGGTGACATAGGTACATTTAATTTACTGTTTTTTTTCCTTACTTTTCTTTACATTATGTCAAAAAAAGGAAGATGACAGATGTCAGGTGACATTCATTTTAGTTGCTGATTAATTAATTTTTGTTAGTTTAAATAATTATGTCAAAATGACAGGTGACAGGTGTCTAAAAGTAGTAATTGTAATGGAATGTCAATTTGAAATATGAACTCCATTAAAATTTGAATTAAAAAACTACAAGAATTTAACATCCTGTTAAAAAAACAAATAGTGCATGACCCAGGTATTTCCATGTAATGAAATTTTACAATGTGTAAGAAAAACGCTCTCTTCTTACAAAGTCACCTTTAATAAATTAATATTCAAATCATTGGGTTTACCTCCTGTTAAATTTTATTGTTTTGGAGATACCCGGTTCTTGCACTGGGCCCTTCCAGTGCAATTTAGTCACGTTTAGTCATAAAAGTTTACAACTTATTGAAAAGCGGCAATAAATTTATTTTATTTTTACAAGTTTTTACCTAAAATGTAAAGAAAACAACCTGGAGACCATAAAATCTTGTCTTGAAGTGGATTAACCTCGGGATTAACACACCTTCAATGTATAGAGGCCTATCGACTTGGTACTGTGTAGCATTTTGGAACCAGAACAATTTCTTTTGCTGAAGTCTTGAAAATTCGGATCGGTTTAAAAAATATGGGCGTGCTTAAAAAATTCCAAAGTTCATATGGTGATCGGGTCATAAACAGGGTATCCCAGAACTCGCGCCACAGAAAAAGGGAACGTGTCGAAAGTTATTCGAAACACATACAGTTACTTTTTTTTTATTTGGACTCATGTTTTTTTATTAAGTTGGTAGCATGGTTATTGACAAAACATCGTAAGCGACAAAACCTAAATTTTATAGGAGGGATTTTTTTGTATGGGAGCTTTATTTTTAAAGTTATTTATTTGAAAACTGGTGAGGCATTATTTTATCAATGTAGAATTTAAATATTTAAGTAAGATCGAATCCAATCTAATATCTTCATTAAATTTTGTGGCATACGATATTTTATAAAAACATCTTTGGAAAAATGTAAAATTAGTCTTGTCGCTTAAGTTACATTTACGTAACGTAAATTACGTTACTTTGTAGGATATAGATTTGATGATTAATTTTGTCAAAACATCGTCAGCAACATTTATTTTTTTACTTTTATTATTATTAAATAAAAAAAAAATTAATTTAAATTTAATTTAATTAAATTAAATTTCACCAACGATATTTTGCCAATGTTTGAAAATGAAATTCTACATTAGCTTTCTTTGAAAAAAAAACGAACTATTTTTATTCACAAACCAGTATCTAACCCATGGAGCCTACACAAGGAGCCCGAACTTAATAGGGGACAAAACCTACCCTCTAAATTGTACAAATTAAGTTTCTTTTTTTCACCACCAGCGGCGCCGATTGTCGATGCTAGCGTTTTGATACAAATTAAACAATTGTTTCAGAATAAACGGAACACCAGCGCCCTCTTATCTTAGGAAGATTATTATTTACATGATGTTCGGACTCCTTGTGTAGGCTCCATGATCTAACCCATGGTAGCATGATCTATCCGATATAAATTTGAGTCAAATTATTTGACGCTAGAACAACACACAATTACTACAAAAAACACTTTTAACGAACCACACTGCGTACAAACAATTATAATTAGTAGAACTATTAATAAAGCAATAAAAAAAGGAATTATAAGCTTTTGATCAAATAAATATTGTTTTAAAACTTGGTAGCAATCACCACGATGCAGGTATACTCACGAATAAACTGTTTAGAGCGGAAATAACGCCTTGATAGATCAAGGCGGGAGCACAATATTATCGTAAGCGACACAATGTTAAATCGCAAACGCCATGTCTCGGAGTTGCTTACGATTATTTGTCAGGAACATATAGGCGCCTACGTTATAAATTGGTAACAAATTAAAAAGAAGAGGCGCTTACAATAATAAAAATATTCAAACTGACCAATATTAGATTCCAAAATTGAGATAACTTTTATGTTAACATGTGCAGCTTATCGTAACTGACACTTTGATAAAATAAAAAGTAATTCAACAAAATTGTCGCTTACGATGTTTTGTCAAATAACCATCGATATGCCAGTTTGATTTAGTATTTTTAGTATTTAAGAAATGGTACCTACTTCTGTAAAGACCTTAATTAAATACTCTGACACTGTCAAATTGACAGTAATATTTATTATTGATAATTTACTTGTTAATTATTATATTATATCGATATAAAAAGGTAACTATGCCAAAAATAATATCAGATTCTAAAGTAAAAGAACTTTTAAGGGGAAAACTTGATTTCGATGAAGTTATGCCAAATGCCACAATCGCAGAAAAAGTACATCGCCTTAAGGACATTTTTGGAGCAAAAAAGTAACGTTTTTGGTTTTACGAATATTAAATCATAGCTTAGCAGATCAAAAATTTTTGAAGTTTTAAAAAATAAGGGGGAAATAAAAAAACCAAAAATAAAAATTATTTGCTGTTAGGTTCAACCTTTTTGTGAAAAATCTAGTTGTTAATTTACCTGTCTTTGAAAATAGCATCCATTTGGTTTGAAACAGATAAGCAATAATCACATAACTTTTTCTTTTTTTAAATTGTAAGTTACTGATCATTAATAGTCCTGGACAAATTTTACATTATAATTATTATTAAGTCACTACAAGTATTAACGTCCAGTGGCTTTAACAAAATACCCATTCACCATTGGAGGCAAATGATTGGACAACATTCACGTGTGTTCACATAAAATTTTAATTTATTTTATATAAATTCTTTTTAAAGCGAAGATTATTATCCGCTAGGAATACTTTGTCTCTCCTGGGCCGTAGTCACCTATATTTAACTACTTTTTTATATGATTTTACTCATCTACGCACCACCAAAGCCAAATGCAATTATTTTTAACTACGAATTTTGACAACTCAACTTGACAATTGGTTAACCATTCAATGTAACCTACAATAATTTAAACATAACCGCAATTAAAATTATCTAACACAAAGGGTAAGCGAGAGACGAATAAAAAACGAGCCAATCCCAATAGGAAATTCTTTAAATTGCTAGGATGCATTTTTGATATTATAATATGTAAAATATTTGGTCGTCTGGAATCGACTTCATTGTGATGTGACACTGCTGTAAATTTTTGTTCCTGTCTTTATCATTTTAAGTTTTGTTTTCCTTTCTGATTATGCCGAAATGACGATTATTTATGGGGAGTATGGGCGCAATGCTAGGGAGGCAGCACGAGTTTTTCCCAGCGCTTTCCCGATCGTCCCCTGGACTGTAAAGTTGTTCTGCGTTGTAACGAAATTGAAGGTGCTCCTTAACGTATTAGAACAGCGGAATTGTAATGCCTTTGATATACAGGTTGTCTCAAAAGTCAAGGACAGCAGAAAAGGGGTGGATAGAAGATGGAATTCCAAGTCGAATAGCGACAATTGTCGTTTTTTGATCAGAAGCACCATTACTTAGTTATTAATAAAATAAGTAGCCAATCACAGGCGTGCTCTAGCAGAATGATTAGAGGTGGGACAACACAAACTTTTGTAGAAATGCCATAGCTATGAAATGACCTTAAGTTTATTTTTTCACCGTCAGTGTTTTGGTTTTTAGGTTCATGAGAAATGTTTATTTTTTTGTGTTGGGCAAATAGGTACCTACCTTTTATTTTGTTATTTTTTTAACTTGCGAATTAATAAATAAGTAAGTACCAGGTTGATGGTGATATCCTTTAATTTTTTTAAATAAGTAAAAATAATTATTTTATTAATATTAATAATAATTAATTTTAACATTATTATTTAATTAGAGATATTTAAAAGAATATGTAATAATCTAATTTTTGTTAAAAAAAACTTGGAAAACTTTTTGAAATGCCTTGGGCTTATACTGTTGCCGAACGTGCAGACATGGTCCGTATTTATCAAAAATATGCTTACAATGCTGCGGAAGCTGCACGCCAGTATCGACTACAATTTGAAGGTGTGTGTGATCGGTTTCCAAACCATATGCTTCAATTCTCCACGCGGTTCACGATTTATTTATATGATTGGCAACGTTTTACGTGTTCAGCACCACCCGAGTGCTGTACACGTTTGCCGCAGACTTTATAATGAAAAACACGCTTTTGAGGCCATTGCAGCTGATCCGGAAACTAGCGCTCGCCAATTTAAGCGTGGCTTGGAGTTCTCCCGCAACACCGTTAAACGCATAACTAAGGACAACGCACTTCATCCATACAACGCGACCAAGGTACAACATCTAGATCTTGGAGATTACGAGATAAGAAGAGACTTTTAAAATCGTACTCTGAATATGCACTGTGAAGACCCTAACTTTCTATTGTGGACTAACGAATCACCATTGACTCGTAAGGGGTATTTTAATCCCCATAATGTGCACGAATGAAAACCCACATTTTAAAAGGATGCAAAGTTTCCGGCACAGGTAGAAAATTAATATTTGTGGAGGTATTACCGGAGACACGGTTATTTTATATCAGTTACCGTAAACGCTAAACATTCCTAAGTTAAAAAAATGATCAATTTATCTTTTCATGGGTTGATCATACAATTAGGAAAACTCGTACTTGGCATTTTTGCAATAGGTTCTTCCGGGGTTGCTCGAAGAAGTTCCAGTTGAAGAGCGTCCCCAGTACTTCCAGTATGATGAGTACCCACGACGCTGGTTTGGGAGCGGATTTAATTGTCGCAAGCTTACATAACACCAGAAATGCTGGAAAACGTCAGAACATTAAACGTTGAGAAATGTTCTTGCAGATAAATGGAGGGACCTTTGAGAATCTCATGAATAAGTTGGACCGAAGTCTAAAAAACGGCCATAGGGCCACCAATTTTCTCTAAAAAAAGAAAACTAACCTAAAAACTAAAACACTGACAGTGACAATGTCAACCATATAATTAAGGTCAATTTACACTACGATTTTATAAAGAATTTCGAAAATTAAGCCGCACATTATGCTTCTCCCACCTCTAATTATTCGGCTAAAACACGCATGTGATTGGCTACTTTATTTTATTAATAACTAATTAATGGTGCGTCTGATCGAAAAACGGATTATAAAGGACGTTTATTTTACGCGAGTGCAGCACCTGCAGCCGGTTATAATCCCGCTAGATTGGAATTCTGTAGTGGTTGCTAGAGATTTTGGCTCTGGGGTACACAACTAGTTCTTTAATTTTTACTTTAAAACATTGGCGTCCTGAAGTATGTCATTCATTTTTGAAACACAGTCGGACAAAAGATTTTTTTAAAAGATTTAAGACAACAATGTTCTATCGTCTCCTAGCAATTTTTAAAGCTCCTACGTTTAACATAGGCGAGAGCTCTAGGTATTGGCTGCATTTTTTGCTCTAATTTGATTACACTATTACTTTGAATTTTTTTATTTTTAAATTTGTCATCGCCATTGCTATCAGCACGTCCCCTTTTTTCAGTGGCGCGAGTTCTGGAACACCCTGTATAGTAATATAATAATTAAAAAAGCTTTTGTATATTGTTACTGGTGCTTAGTTGACTTTAGCTTTAGTTACATTCGATTCCCTGTTCATTTAAGTTCACGAATAAAAAGTATTTTTTAATACATTCTTTAATACTGACTGATAAAGAAAGTGGGTATCCACTAATCTTCTACAGTATCTAGACGTTTTAAGGATTTCAAGGTGAGTCCAACGGACGGTAGATGGAGCTGATTACCTTGCACTCACCGCTGTCCCTCTATCCTATCGCTTTATTGAGTCGTGGCAGTGTGTTAATACTGTATATATCAAATAAAATAAAATTGAATACGTTATTGAACAGGCCTCCAAGCAATTTTTACACTGAAGAAAACTGAAGAGATTTCTTTTGAAAGTAATAGTAACATTAATATTAGGTATATGAATGCTTATCGAATGATTTTACCTTTAAAACCTAATAATGGAGTTAAACTACTTTAGTCACTTGTAAGAGTATAAACAACATAACATTTCAGTTTTCGAGTAAAAAGCAGTTTTAACAATAATATTTTTTATTGCAGGAATCAGGATCACAATCAAAACCCGTCATATGGAAATAACTGGTTCAGGTCTAGGTATCATTCAACCTGGCAACAGAGACCTTATAGACCATCACAACCACGAAGCGATAACAATAACAACTTTAGAAACAATACAGAACGTACAAATAACATTGCAATAAAGACCATAGATGTTGTGAAACAGAGTGATGTAATAAAGAAGACATCAGTCAAAAGCAAAGTACAAAAGCCTCTTGAAGATGCCAAGAAGAAACTTCAGCGTGATAATCCTAATTTAAAACCAGTTGAAAGAAAATCTGAACCTTTAGAATTAGTACAAAAAAGTGATAGTAATAAAGCCAGTGAAAATTCAAAATTAAAATCAGCGAAAACCAAATATGATTCCAAGACTGAACTACAAAAAAATGTTTTTAAACCTAAAGAAGTAAAACAAGTGGAGTCTAAACCTAAAAAATCAGTAGCAAAAACCAGTGATAAACCCGAAATAATTACAGACACTTTAAAACTAATGTTATTAGAAGAAGGTTCAAAAATTACCACTGATAAACAAAAATGTCATAGACCTAAAAGTATTAACGACAAACCACCGAAATATGTTAAACAAAACCCATTAAAAGAAGTTGTTATCAAGCTATCCAGAAACGTATATGCTACTACTGTTGCTTCCAAAAAAGAAACTGAAGTTGAAGAAAAGGAGAAAGTTTTGGACGAGCAAGAATCACCGATAAGAAACGTTAGAGTTCAACGAAGGATATACGATTCCGACGTATTTGGTGGGATTGACACCACCAAATCATATTTAACTAATATTAAAAATAACGAAGAAAGTCCTGAGAAAAGAATGAAAACCGAACAAATAAACATGTACGACAAAATCAAAATGCAACCCAGAGTCAATGATAACAACGACGACTTACTGAAATTACTAAGCCAACAGCGGACTGAACGAAATTATAATTTAACTAAAAGAAAAAATAACAATATCGACGAAACTCCAACGAAAAAAACAAAAACCGAACAAAAAAACGTGCAAGACGACAAAATCAAAATGCAACCCAGGGTCAATGATAACAATGATTTACTAAAATTACTAAGCCAACCTCAGATCGAACAAAAGCATGATTCTTTGAATCAACCATTTCAAAAAATTGGTAAAATTCATGAGGAACCTGAAGAGTCCATTAAACTGATCAAGGAAGAAATCCAGAAGTCATCAAGCAGTTCTTTATCATCAATTAAGAAAGATCACCATAGACACTCTTCTAGTTCAAAATATAGACATCACAAAAGAAGAGACAGTCATGATAGCCAAAAAAATAAGCCAAAGGAGAATGATTCAAAACATTCAAGTGAGAAGCAAACAAAAGACATGGCAAAATCAAAAAAATTGCAATCAAAAAGAAGTTTTGAGTTGTTCGGTTCACCGGACAAGGAGTTTAAAAAACTGGACGATATCCGAAGAAAAGCTGCCGAAGTCACTCTTAAAATTGAAGCTAAAACGAAGATAGCTTCGCAAAATTTTGACATAATGTTGGAGGGTGTCACCAAGGAATTCCAACCGGATAAACCTGTTTATGAAACGGCTTCATCAGAAATACAACATGCATGCATGAGTGAACACGAAACTGTTCCACCTATAGATGTTTATAGAACTCTAACCAAAACCCAAGTGGTTAAAGTTAACGTTAAGAAAGATGCAAAAGTCGAGATTGATGTTATAGATCTTACAGAAGATGTTAAAAATGAAATAAACCCTGTAGTAACAAAACCTGAAGTTGAGGGATTGACTCTATACAAAAGTTCGGAATGTCAAGCCATAGAGGCTTCAATAGGTGTAGTAAACACGTTATTGGAAATTGAAGGAAAGGTAGAACCATGCACTCAGGCATCTGAATCAATTAAACCCATTGAAAATCAATCTTCTCAAGCACCTCCAGTGAAAGTCGTTTCAGATATCAGAATTGCTCCAATTGACAAGCTTGCAAGTCTTGTGGACGACCTACAGTTATTTTCAAATGATACTCAACCTGAACTAACAACTATGCTGCAATCGATGCTAGCTCAGAAAGTCCCAGAACAACAAAACCAATCTGCATCGTCGTTATTTTCCAACATACCTTCTCCACCACGTTCTGGCATCCCTGAGAGACCTTCATTGCTAGCTCAGATCCCCTCGAGGGAATACATAACACTAACAGAAAAACCTGAGGTGGAACGCGAGATAGCCAACACTTTCGCGCCGATATTAAACTTGCTGAACTGCCTTAAAGTCAGCAAGAGTCTTCTGGAAGCGGTCAGCTACAACTTACACATGGCGAGCTTATTGCACGATTGGCCGATGAATTTTGACTTCAAGAAAGTCGTGTGCGAAGTCTGGGTGATTTTCGTCACCAAGTACAAGCGCAACGACTGCGAGGTGTTGCACGTGTTGGATCAATTTTTTAACGTGGTCAGGAGCATGCCGGAGTCTGTAACGCGCACCCCGTGGATAAACAAATTTGGTTACATGGTGATTTCGTACAAGAATTATATACTTATGAGGACTCTCAATGGTGAGTTTTGTTATTTGATATCAAGCCAACTTTACACCATTAAGAGAGTTTTGCAGAGGCTTTAACAAGTTGCTGCCTGATGGTTCAAGGTTCGGGCTGTACGGTGAACTTTTTTTATATTTCAGCTTCAGCGTCCATGTCAATCGAACAGCGGTACACCTTACAACATCAAATTAAAGCCTACAATCAGTTGGTTAATATTACAAATCAATTGGAGGCTTTATTCAACAAGATGTCTCCGCAGATATTTAAAAAGGCAAGTCAGCAAATCTTTATGAGTCCTCAGCACCTTTCTGGTGGTCAAGTTTTGCCTAGAAATGCGCATCAACAAAGACAACAGTCTAACCAAACAATAACTCGGAGGCCTCAAAATCAACTGATTGTACAGCAAGTGGATCCAAATCCTGTTCAATTGCAACCAAGTAATCGGAATGAACATGGGTTACAAGTTGTGGGGAATACAGTTCAGCATTTCGGTCCATATGGTTCAAATCAATGCATTTTAAGAAGTCCACATCCTAATCAAAGTTCAAACCTCGTTCAACCATCGAAATCACCGAAGGATAAGACAATCAGAAGACAAAGTGTGGAAAAAACACCAAGGAGAAGAACTAGCACAGATAATTTAAGGCAAGCTTTGTTGCAAAGTCTTTCCCAACAAAATATGCCTCGTCCAAATAATTCCACAATTAGTACACCAAAAAATACTCCGGTGCATCCTCAACCATATACTCGGTAAGTAACAGGTTTTAGACAAACCCATGAATCTAAAAGCGTCAAATCGATGGACCTTGGTGGCCAGTTAACATCGAATTGCTCTACTTTTAGCTCTGACGGACCACCGGAAATGACAAATAGCTTTAGTCCTCCATGTACCACAAAAAGTCCGGTGTACGCCCCAATATTCCGGGCACCAAATCAATTTGAATCAAGCGATGTGGAAGATACCTCTTCCAACGCTTCCAGTCCTCCAGGGTTCGATAACTTCCGAATACGCTTACCGTACTCCACACCGTACAACGAAATTCATAAAGATACCACGCCATGCGACGAAAATCCGGAAGCGGAAGCTGTGGTTAAAGAGGAACCGATACCGATCAAGGTTGAAGATTTCGGTGACGGAAATGTGATTGATGTCGACAAGGACTGGTTGGATGATCTCGTTTTTTCCGCTTTGAATACCATCAGGGTGGATGAAGATGCAGATGAAGAGATCGCCAGAAGAAATACGGTAAGTTACAGGAGTATCAGTCCATCGTGTCGGGTGTTACATTTGTTCAACCAAAGTCTAAATTTTTATGTATTTTGAAATAACATTTCAGCAATTAAAGTGCCTCATTATCTACGTTTTTAGTTGGTTTATCTAAATTGTAAAATTAGTACAGTTTAGCATAAGGGATAACGATAAGTCGAAAAGTGTGCGTTTCGCGTGTTTCACGATTCGGCCTCCATGTCCTGCCCTTTTCTTTGGGAAACATTTCTAAAAGTTACTCGCCTCCAAAAGTATAATATTTATTAACCTTCTATAGATGTGATATACCACATAATCACTGTCACCGCCGTTTTACTATTTTTTTATAAAATTTTACTTTGCTTCGGGCGTTACCCTGGTTCTGTTTCGGGTGTTACAAGCACAAAAAGTACATTTTATATGGAAAAAATCGGAGTTTTATAAGTCTCTAGGTACTACAAAATAAGTTATGTAGTAACGAATAAACATAAATAGAGCGAATTATCCTTAAACATAACTTAACCCTTAAGCAGGCACGCGGGGTGTACAAAACACCCCAGCTTCCTAAATATAGCTACCGGTCTCACTTCGATTCGAATAAATGGCGCTTACTTTCAGTACCTTCCTGTCAAAGTATTCTCAGTCATATTACATTGCCGATTTTGAAGTTAATGTAATAGGTTGTCTGGTATTTTGTTTTAAACAGGCTCTGGGTGCTGTGGACACCCCGTGAGCAGGCTGGGTTTCGCCTCCCTATTGACTTTTTTTTACCAAATCATAATTACTTGTAAAAGTAAACCTTATCTTAAGTGCTTTGTGTTTTTTTTTGCTTTTATTATTATAATGACTTTTAAAATTTGTTTTTTTTAAATAAATGCTTTATTTGATTAAAATTGTCGTCTTTTGACATTTTCTTTTTTTGTCATCTTTTATAAAATTTGAACGCAACGAAATATGTTCTCATTGTCTCTCAGCTCATCTTAACTTGAGAACCTTAAAAAAAAAACAACAAAAAATGTAAATAACACTCAGGGACGCTTTGCCATCAGGGGTGTCTCTGACACCCCGCGCGACCTACTACGTTGCATAAAGAGGTGCGCCTGCATAAGGGTTAAGCAGCTTCGGGTCCGATTGATAAATCGGCAAAACGGGTAAAATCGTGATTGCCAAAAATCGGCCAAATAAATCGGTAGAAACATAATTATTGCAAAAACTTAGTATTCGGTATTTTGGTTGGTCCGTTGCCATTTCGGTAGGAATACCGAAATTTCGGTAGGTTCGACACCATCGAAAAAGCAGTCACACCTTTTTAAAAGAGGTGTGACTGCTTTTTCGATGGAGGCGCTAGTGGGCTGTCGAAATAATACTTATTGCATTCTTTAAGCAATACACACACTTATAACGTGATAATTATCAATTTTTTCGGGACTGAGACCATAGATGAAATAACCTCAAATTACAACGTGGCAAAACAGGTGACAGATTGGCAGTTTTTTTCGTAATTTCAATAGTTAGGGGCACAAAAGTCATTCAGCCAGTTCATAAGTACAGATTTTGGAGACTATTAACTTAAAAATTACGCGTTTCTTCTAGTTTTTTTGTCGCACATTATAATTTTGAATGTCTTCTTTCAAAATTCATCAGATTTAAGCCTCATTCAGAACCTCGTAATTAGTGGAATAAATTAGTGGTTTCAATTAACGTAAATGTGCTACCTGGGTAGTACTTTTCAATTAGTGAAAAAAGTTTGCAAACTTCTACCACTAATTATAATTGAAAAGCGGCTTTGCGCATGTGCGCATGTCAAAAGCGAAAGGTTTGAAGATTTGCCAGTGAAGGAAAGGTTATATATAAATATTATTGTAATGGTTGTAAAAAATATTATTTTATTATAATTAATATTGTTTGTCAGGTTAAGAAGAATGGACAATCTTTTAGCAAATTTGTGTTAATTATAAGTATAATTGAAACCACTAATTTTTTCCACTAATTTAGAGGTTCTGAATGAGGCTTTAATGCGAAAAGAATATATTTATTTTTTCACCCTCAGTATAGTATGTCATGGAATGACCCAGGACCTAAAGGTTCAAAAGTGGTCCAAAGTCACCCAAGCTTACCTACTTACCAAATTTAGTATAAACTTCTGAAAAAACTGCAAAACAAAATCTAAATTATTTGTTTTGCTGTTTTCAGAATTCATCTCCAGCAGATAGTGGGTGTGGCAGCAGTCCACGGGTAAGTAGAAAAATATAGTTTAACAGGGGCGTGCTCTTAGAAGAATAAAAATTTTTTTTAATTCATTTAATTCAAAAAAATATTATTTCGTTTTCAGGCTGAATTGTTTGATATTCAGAATAGGATTTGTCTATGTGGAGAACGAGCCCTATTCTTGTGCGCAAAATGTATGTTAGTAATGTACTGCAGTGTTAAATGCCAGGTAAGATCTTAATAAAAAAAAATCATAAAAACTGTGTTAAATTATTTTTCTTGCTTTTAGTTGGATCATTGGTCAGTACATCGGCCAATTTGCCAAAGTAGGAAAAAATAGGTTGAGAATAAATAGAAGTTAAGTTTAAATGCATATACCTAAGCGAAAATTCCTCATCTTCTGCAGTATTTTTAATTAATTTTATATTTTGTTGATCGTTGTTTTTCTACGAAATAAAAAGTTTTGGTTTTCGTTAAAATACTGTTGTGATATTTAATTGTTTTTCTACAAAATAAAAAGTTGTTTTACTAAGACTGTATTTGTGATATCTAGTTAGTTGTTAATGTTTGTTCAGTAGGTACCTGTTTACTAAGCTAAGAATTTTTACCATACACGTAACAATTGATATAATACATCAATAAATAAATATATATTTATTACATAATATTACATCAAAAGTTTTGTTGCAATACACAGGGTGTCAAAAAATTGGAGAACTCGCAAAATTACAGGAGTTATTTGACTTTTAAAGCCACCAATAAATTTTTGCTAAATGATGCTGATGCTCTATCACTGAGAAAAACAATTTTCCGACATCCTGTACATCATAGTTTATGTTTTTGATGCCATATAGAATTAATTCTTTAAATTTCATAGTTTCTACTAATCTCTATTCTATGAATAAAAGGTGCCATTGTTTTTACTTTTATATAAAAAAAATTAGAGATAAATATATCACTATTAATTTAATAAATCCTATTATGTACTTTTACTTACCCATTTTCTAACAGCATCAATTGTTATTTAATTTTAATATCTCACTAGAGACCGGATCATAAATCATATCTACAAATTTAAGGAAGTTTTTTTTCACCAAATTCCTGTTATCCTGTTAAAAAATTAAAGAAGGTTTTAATAAAAATCGGATTTAAATAATATTTTATTTAATAGGCAAAACATTGAATTTTGTTGTACTCAATCTTGTAAAATTAACTTAATATAGCAAAATATACATTTTTATACAAAAAAAAATTAAGAAACAATAAACTTAATATTTACATTTAAACCTAATTAAAATAAATATGTAATTATTATATAACCTACCTTCATTCAAAAACAACAAAAAATTTACAATAAATCGCTCTTTGTAACAAACATGATTTTAGTTAATTGTTTAAATTATGCATGAAATTATCAAAGTTAAAAATATTAAGACGAGGCAGTCTTTCATTGGAAATTGTTAAAACTATTTTATAAAATCTAACAATATAATGGCAGTGAAAGTAATAAGTACTTTAATTATTTTATTAATTAATTAAACGGCCAATTTTCTGTAGAAATAGATTTTTCTCGTTTCCCCTTGGTCTGACAAAAAAAGTGTTAAAACAAAAAATATACAGCTTTAAATTTTGAATATATTTGTATTATGGCAAAATTTTCTGTATTTAGATCCTAAACAAAATATAAAAAATTGTTTTGTCAAATTTGGCTCCCTCTATCTTGCCTGTAAACAAATGTGTTCAAAATTTCAAGCTGTACATTTTTGGTTTTAAAAAAAAATTTGTCCGACCAATAGGAAACAAGATATAACGATTCGGTTTTTTTCTTAAAAAAATGGCGCCCGAGCAGGGAACATAGATTTGGGCATTCCACCATATACAAAGTCCAGCCAGTTTGGAATTTTTTCGATGTCCAAATGGAGTGCATTTCAGAGGTAAGAAGTACACAAAATTAAATAAAGACTTTAAGTACTGTTCTATGTACAAAATCTAGCACCTAATTATATTATATCACATGTAGACCTGTCAAAGGTCAAAAACGTATTTTTGATACTACCTATGACCCTTTCAAGGGCTCCTTTTCTTCCGATGATAAAATCGCCCCCTTTAACGTGGGATCTTTTGTATGGCGATTTCTTTTGAAGAAGCCGCATTTCCATAGAACCACTATTAAAATTACTAGCAGCAAAATTCCAATAAGAACTGCCACTATGATGTACCAATAACTAAGGCTTGTTTGTATGCTTTCCGGATACAACTTTGTATCAGCCTGTATGGAAAATTATTTGTACATCAAATTTTTAAGTCAAAACAAGTTGCAACTTACCGCTGCATAATCCAATGTGTTGTTCTTCAGTATAAACTCCTTGTCCAAATTGATTTTGGCCCTGGATTTGATCGAAATCCAGTCCACAGTTTTGTAGTCTTCGGCCAAAGTCGAGTTCCAAAGCCTTGAACGGACCTCGAACTTGACCTTAAGATTTTTTTCCAATCGGTCCACTTTGCATTGAATTTTGACGCAGCGAGCCGATGCCGGGTCGTCTGGATCGGCAGACAAACAATTCTGAAAAAATGCATTTAAAAAGTGACAATATATAAAATGATGACAAGCTAATATACTGATAAGCTAAAATTATAACAAGATTTAAAGGTACCTAAGCTAAAATAACGACAAGTTTAAATAAATTACAAAAAACTAAAATGATGACGAGCTAAAAATATCCACAAGCTAAAATATAGACAAGATTAAATGATGACAAACTTAATAAGATAAAATAAAGAAAAGATAAAAGATGACAAGCTAAAATGACCATAATTTAAAATGAAAAGCTAATAACAAGCCAATCTAAGACAAGCTAAAATATGACAAAAAACTAAAATAATGACAAGGACAAGATAAAATGATGACAAGCTAATATACCGACAAGCTAAAACTAAAATGATGACGACCTAGAATAACTACAAGCTTAAATGAGGACAAGCCGATAATGATGATATAAAGACAAAATTAAATAACCACAACCTAAAATTACCACAATTTAAAATACCAACAAGCGAATCTAAAATAACGACTATTTAAAATTATGACAAAAACCAAAATGACGACAAGCTAAAATGACAAGCTAATAACAACAAGCCAATCTAAGACAAGCTTAAATAAATGATATAATAATAATATAATAAAATGATGACGAGCTAAAATAACTACAAGCTAAAATATAGACAAGATTAAATGAGGACAAGCTAAAATGAGAACCAGCTAAAATGATGACAACTTAAGAATCTAAAATGATGACAAGCTAAAATGACCGCAATTTAAAATGAAAATTTAATAACGAAAACCAAAATTAAGACCAGCTAAAATAATGACAAGGTAAAATGAGCAGAGGTTAAAGTAAACTTAAATACCGACAAGCTTAAATAACGACATTCCCAGTCCAGCTTCTGAAATCTGAAATGTATGCTTCACTTACCATTTCCACCACTCTGCTGACTTTTTCGTTGACTTTCTTCAACTTTGCCGGCACTATATACTCGATGTCTCTCTTGAATCTGCTCTTCTCGTCGGAGGACCTTCTTCTTCTATAGGTGGTTCTCGAATCCAGAAGGTTTTCCGGTTCTTCGAACTGATTGGTACCCGTCAGCTTGAGTGGGTTAACTATTTTCGGCTCTTCCACCACACAAGCACCAACTGAAACCGTTTTACATCAAGTAATTTGAACACTTATACTTGCAGAAATTTCCTGTCGTTTTCTGCCATTTTCTGGCTGAGAACGGCAGAGAAAATTTTCGCAAGTGTCTTCATACAACTTGCATACCGTTAACAGATCCATTTCCGGTGGTGATGTTCCACATGGGTGTGGCTTCTAGATACAGCAACCATTTGCCGGCCCTTTCGTTTCGGGATTCCACCTGGTAGGGCCACAAAATGTCTACAGTAAAATTCGTGAGGTCCCACTCGTTGCCGTTTTCGATTTCGTATACGTGCGTTATCCTGGGGCCGATGTCTTCAAGTTTTGACATCGCCGATTCGCCTCTTATACCGTCGCTTCTGTAGAAGAGGTTCGATGTCGCTTTTCTTCAAGAGAATAAAACGGACATTGGTTTTACGTTTCAAATTATATGCGAACAAGATAAATCATTTTGTTTGTGTCCTTAATAAAGTGTTTCCTGTGTAACACTAGATAATTACGCCGACTCAAGTCCGTGTATGACGCAGGACAAAAGTATTACTACAAATATTTGGGATAACTGTTTGCAGTTGGGGAGTTGTAAGTTTGCTGTAGGGCAAGCAGCAATTTACATCTTACCCTTCGTTGTCAGTAGGTACTGACTTCATAGAAGATTCCGCCAGTCGTTATCTTACTAGACCACTGTGCTTCGTAACCTAGAAGTTGATCAAAACTATGTTCTACTTACGCAATCAACGTGAAGTCGGCCATTTTCTGCAAAACAATGGAAAATTCCTTCCTGGTGTTCATGGACAAATCGATGGAGGAGGTGTTGACGTAAACTTTGACGTTAAGCACGGAAGTGGCGCTGGATATAATTTCGAACCGAAGAGTTTCCTCCTCTGTCTTGCCGGATTTCATCGGGTTCCCCAGATCGCACTGCACCAAAGTTTTGTTGTAGCTCGAACATTTGACGGTGCTCTGCGGGAAGGAAAGCAATCAAAAGTGAACGGGTCGAAGAGCGGGTAGCGTTTTTATTACCGAATTTTTGTTGTTGTCCACTTTTAGAGCTATGTAGCTGAGTTCTTCGGGATGGTCGATGAAAAGTTTGGCCTCGTACGCGTCTTCTTTCTTATTTTCGATGTTCACGTTTATTAGGAGTTCTTCTTTCGTGGAGAATGCGGTGTAAGTGGTGCCATCTCCGTGTTTCTTCACTAAAATAATTTTTCATTATATGCATTGCAATTCTTGTTTTTCCAATTTGGGTAATAACTTACAATGTGTTGAGGCTTTTAACTGCAAATCCGAATTGCAGATGTCATCGTTACCGCAATTTTTCTGGAAGGTGGCAGTAAACGATTTTGTGGAAGTTTTGTTCAAAATATACTTCTGATCTCGACTGTCATCCAAAGTATATTGCGCTACCAGCTAATAAAAAAAATATTGTTATGTTACTTGGCCCTGTAATACAATTATGTACCTATCTACAAAGTTTGTAGTACAAACAATTTAGGAGCCAAAATAATGGCAGAGGTCAATTTTGGCGGTTAATTGATACTTTAAAAGGACAACTTTGGTTTAACTAACATTAGAAATATTCCCCAACACCAAAACAAAACACAAAGAGCTTAAAGTACTTTTCGCCAACGATGTTGGCATCTTCAGAAGCGAAGTGTAACGGAGTTTGTTTTGGCGTTGGGGAATATTTCTAATATGTGTCTGATGAATTGATGTACGCAAAAACATCAAATCAAAATAATAGATAAAAACCAGACATTACCTGTATGGGTTTCAAAAAATCTCCCACGTATTCTTCAATGTAAGCAGTCATTTCCGTACAGTGCTCCAAATGTTTAATAGTTAGGGTGGAATTGACCCTGTTACTTTTTCCCTCATACTTTTCCTGCCTGAACCAAATTCTACGAATGGTGGAGTTCTCGTAGATCGAGTACCGCAAGTTTAAGTTCTTTTCGGGCTTTTCGGTAAATTTTATGCACGATCTGAACGAAAAACTGAAATGGAGGGAAAGAAGGTGGTATTATGATGAAACCCCCTTCCAAAATAGGTCTTAAGACCTAAATTTAGCTTACCAAGTGTTGTTCGAACTCTTATCCGCTTCGCAGCCTTTTTTCATGACGTTGATGTTATCTTTATCTTTGCTGTACACAGTGATGTCGATGTTGATGATTTCCAGCGTTTTGTACAACAAAACAGCGTCGGATTCGTACGCTCCCACGGCCAGATCCGGATATCCGTTACTGTCCATATCCAGACCACCACTCAAAGAGTACCCGAGAGTTTTCGCCCGTTTGTGGGTGATGATCTAAAAAGGAGACGTGGTATTTTGTAAACCTTTTTTTTTGCTTTAAAACCTTACCTGCGGTTCACCCTTAACACCATCCTTTTTGCCCAAGTAAATATATACAGCCCCCCTGCCCTTGTTCTCGTACGGAGCCCCAACGGCTATATCGTTAAAACCGTCCCTGTTGATGTCTCCCACAGACGCAAGCGAAAACCCAAACCTGCTGAATTTTTCACCGCTCAGGGTTTTGTCGGGTATGCAAGGTTCGTTGGGGTGTTCCAAGCATTTTTTTAAGTTCATGTAGAGGTAGATTTTCCCCCCGTGGTTTTCGTCGTAGTAAAACGGGGCCGATACCACCAAGTCATCAAACCTACACAAGAAAACAAACCCTCTAAACCAGTACTGATTAGGAGTAGTAAATCTTACCCATCGTTATCAATGTCGACCGCAAGCATTTCGTAGCCAAAACTGGAAGCAAAACTCTCCCCGTTTAAAATCATGCTGATGTTTAGTATCTCTTGTCCTTGATTTTTTTCGAAAAAGTACACTTGTCCCGTGTAGTTCGATCTCGGAGCACCAGAGACATAAGTGTACCGATTTTTATCAAAGAATTTTCCACCAGTAACACTCATACCTAAAACAGCACTCAACATATATTGGAGAATGTAAAACACAATTTAATGAAGTACCTAAGTAACTGTACTTTTCAATGGGTGCAGAGGTATCAGATAATGGTCCACGGTAAACCAGCGTGTCTCTGTCCAAAAATTCTCCCACCACAGAAGTGGTGAAAATCGTGCCTCTCCAAGTAAATGGACCTGGAGCCCCCATTAGGAGATTTCCGTCCTGAAGGAAGTCCAAGCTCGTACCTACCTGGCATAAACCATATTGTTGATGGAATCTAAAAACGGTGAGTTATTTTAAACATTTGGTGTCTTAGAAACTTGTCGCCTCAAAGAGATGAAGAATTTGCAGTAATTGAAAAAGAGATAAAAGGAAAGAAAAACTGAAGAATTGACGTTTTTTGTGCCAGACCCTGAAGAAAGAATTATATGGAGACTGGCCCCTATGTTGACCACAAGCTAAAGTAACAACACGAGCAAATACTCACTTGTTGATGGGCTTCCCCTTGCAAGGCTCCTCAGCGAACTCCAGCGTCTCCATGTCGCTGCTGAGCACATAGCACAACCCGTATCCGTTCTGATTCTGCTGGATGTTATCGCCCTGGATGTACCTGTGAGCGCAAACAGCCACTTTTCCTCCGGGTTTCTGCGATCTAACGGTGACACCCAGCCACTGATCCTCTTTGATTTCGTCCTGGCCCGGAGGCATTTGGGCGGGTTTCTCTTCAAGTTCATCGTCTACGTAGTCGAGGTCTGGAGGTTTGGGGGGGATTAACAAAAATGGTTTTTAGTTTTTGTGCATGGTCCGTGGTGGTTTGAAGTAAGCAAATAAGTATGGTTTCAAAATTCTAATCAATCAACTTCTGAGTCATTTTGTAAATTTTATCAAACTATAAAAATTGCATAACAGTTAAATTACTTCTTTGCCTATCTTTCAAAAGTTAGTAAAAAGTAAAAATAAAGTTTATATTTATTTCATCATCAATGAAAATGTAATAAAAATGTTAAGGCAAGTTCACAATCCACACAAAATACTAAAAATAGCGAAGTTAGGCAACCCACTCCACAGACTCTAACGGCGGTCATTATTATGTTGTTTACAATTCTTCTGCTTATGGTTTGTGCAGTTTAAACAAATAATCGTTTTAAACGTTGTTTTTCTTACAGAAGCCCTAAATAAAAACATATTCTATCAGGGCTGTCATCTGTCAAATTTCAATTTTAAGGTTAATTTAAACTTAAAATTTACACTTGACAGTTTAATAACAGCTCTGATAGAATAAGGTTTATTTTTAAAAGAGGAGTAAAATAGTTGTCCTGCAGTTTAAGGCTTTTTTTAGGCTTATCTGTATAATCAGCACAAACCCGAAGCACAAGAATTGTAGACAACATAAAAATGGCCGCCGTGATTTTAGTATGCGAGATAGAATATACCTTCTTGTGTGGATTGTGGAAATAATAAGTCAGTATCAAGCTAATTTTTTCCTATTTTATAAAAATAATGCAATAGATGTATTTTTTTATATAAAATTCTTGATTTAAAATACAAAAAATATTGTATTATTTTTAGAATTCGCGGAAGAAAACTAACCCTGTACAGGTCTACTATGCTCCACACCTCAAAGTCTTTTGATAATTTGGCATTTAAGGCTTTTCAGGTTGTGTTACACAACCTGAAAAGCCTTAAATGCCAACTTGTGTATCTGTCAAAGTATAGTCAGCGAAAGAAATAATATTTATACTTTTACCGCTTATGTTTAAACGTTAAAATGTATGAATCTTTATAGTATCACAATAACAATGGTTGATTTAAGAATTTAGGAATATAAATACTGCATTAAATGAAATTCTGAAGTGTATGGTGCCAAATAAGTAATATGTGTATTTGGTCTACATATCTGGTTTTCTCCATAAAATAGTTTTACCTAAACGGCATTTATTAAAAAAATAGCTTTTCTATTATGGAATAAGAATATTTGTATGAAAGGTAGGTTAATATATCATAACAAAAAATATCTAATTTTGTAATTTTTAGTTAGGTTACAATAACTATTTTGACAAAAAAAATAAGTATTTTAAATTATTTGAAAGAGTGTGTTAATATAGTCTGAGCTGTTCTGAGAGGTGATTTTTGGACTTTCTGTGAAACCCTATTTTTTTTTTATATTCTTGTTAATTAGGTCATAACTAAAATTATAAGAGCAAAATAAAAAAAATTTGACGGTTAATTTTGTTTTAATTGGATGTTTATTAAAAATATGTATGCACACTTTCAATTCTCCAATTAAAACTTGCGATTTTATTTAAATATTATCATAACTTTTTAAATCAGATTAAAGATTAGTTAATTTCCTAAAAAAAGGTCTATACATTTTTTATATCTTTTACTGTTTTGTTGTAATACACGTTTAAAGTTTTAATTTAAGGTTAAATGTATAGTATAAATTTATTAAACAATAATTCTAAGGGTGCCACATTTTATTTATAAATAAAATGTGGCACCCTTAGAATATAGGGCCGATTTATTCATTTTTGATTTATTTGACGAATAATTTCTTTGGATACTAGATATTGCCAAGACATGAAAGTTATCGGCCCGATAAACTTTACTAAAGATGAATAAACCGGTCCTTAGTTAAATTTCATGAATTTCTTCGTAACTTTTACTACAATTTTTCATTTTTGTTTATAAAAAACTAAACAAAAATTATAGAATACGTATTCTGAAAATGACAATTCAAACTTCAAATAAATTTTTAATAGATCTAAGTTTCATGGCAACCTTTAAGGATATAATATATAATATTATAAATAATATATAATATATTATATTATATTATATTATATATATATATATATATATATATATATATATATATATATATATATATATATAATATATAATATAATATTATTATAATATAAGGGAACATAAATGTATACGTCAAAGGTTAGATTAAAAGTTTGAACGTTTATTGCAACAAAACAGTTGAAAGAGTGCATAATATTTTTAATAAACAGCCAATTAAAACAATTCAAACCGTCAAATTTTTTTTATTTTGCTCTTAAAATTTTAGTTATGACCTAATTAACAAGAATATAAAAAAAATTAGGTTTCACAGAAAGTCCAAAAATCACCTCTCAGAACAGCACCGTGATATAGGTATCCTAAATAATTGTTGAATATGGTTCAAATTAAATTGAAGCTTTTATACTTCCAACAACAAAACTTGTACATCCTGGCATACCTACTTTTAGTTAAATTATAGGAAAACAAACAATTTTTAGAGAAACTTGCAATGTGAAAATATTTCATACTGCCATAACATGTGATTTATTAAAATTTTAAAAGTTGTAATGATTTTTCGATGTAGATCAAATTCAGTCGAACTTTTATACCTACTTGACAAAACATATTATAAAAACAATTTTTTAAAAGAAATTGTAAAGTATATATATTAGATACTATACTGTGGGATTTATTTAAATTTTAAAAGTTATAATTATAACTTAAGGTTAATTATTAATAACCATATAATGATTTTTAGAGATCAAATTGTGTCGAAGCTTTAATAGGTACTTATATTGACAGGATGGGCGTATATTAGCTGACAGAGTAAGGAACTAAGAAGGTTAGCTTCTGAATTTCCAAATCATAGGTGTAAAAACAATTTACGGTTTTAAAACTACAAAATTAGATGATTTTTTTGTTATAATATATTAACCTACCTTTGATACTGATAGTATTATTCGATAATAGAAAAGCTAGATATGTAGACCAAAGGCACAAAAATATTACTTATTTGGCACCATAAACTTTAGAATTTAATTAAATGCAGTAGGTATTTATATTCTAAAATTCTTAAACCAACCATTGTTATTGTGATACTACATATGAGTACATTAGATGCAAAACTCGGTTTTTGCACTGCCTACAGCATACCTAAGTAAACCAGATGTATAAGTTAGTATTTGCAGAATAAAATACATTTAAAAACTTAACGCAGATTCAAAACTGGGTATTTTTTTCTTTGTTTCTTCCTGTCGGATGCGAAACTCGGTATTTGCTGTTGACCAATCACGTCACTAGTATACGCATTACGTGACGACATTGTTATTAATTGTTATTTTTTGGTATTTGCACTTTTTACTTGCAAAACTTGGTCTTTGAACGAGGAATCTTTTGATTACAATTATTTACTAAAATACCTAATTTTAAAGGATTTTTTTTTACTTTTTTGAATAATAATGATGCAAAAGCACGTCTATACAATTTTTGCATTTTTTTTTTCAAAAATGATCTTATGAGTGGTTTTTCATGTTTTTTTTGAATTCACTTATCCTGCAAATACAGAGTTGTGCATCTAATATTATAAATATTCATAAATTTTGAACGCTGAAACGCCTGAAAAGCCTTAAATTCCAAATTTTCAAAAGACTGCATTCCGTACGTAGTCACGTGGTGGGACTTTGATGTGTGGAGCATAGTACATATTCCATAGATTTAATAGTCAATGTTAAAATAAATATAAACAAATAAATTAGTATTAAAAATATGCTACAAAATGTGTCAGAAAAAATATTTTGTACAAAACATGTAAAATATTCTTCCTTAAATAAAAAAACAAATGCTTAGCAATGATATTACTAATTTTGACAACACGTGAACAAGTCTACCAACCTAATGATTTGTGTTTTTTGTCAAAATTAATAATTATATACAACTTGCTCTATATACACTATGCGCGTCAAAAGTAGCCTCATCAACTCAAAAAATCTTTACAAAAAGCTCTTGTCAAGATACAAATGCACAAGGAAAAAAAATACAAAAATATTGCGAAAGTGGCCACTGGCAAGTCAAATTTTTCGTGGTCTTTTTGGGTAAATATTAGTTTCAATATTATTTTTTGTTATTTTATTAATTGTTATTTTTTTATTATTTTATTAATTTATCAAAAAGCTTGGAAGTGATATCAAAAGCTACGGCTTTAATTTTTTTAGTTTAATTAAAATGTGTCCACCCAGTGTAAATTTTGTAGAAATGTGAATAATTGTTCAATAATGGCGAATGCGCCGGTATCAATAATATAAACACTGGGCCTTATATTAATAAAATCGCACAATTATTGCTAAATTTAAATTAAACGTCAAACAATAAATGTACAATTTTTATAATAATAAAACACATTCACTAAAATTTTAAAACGTGAAACTTTATTTAATGTAAAAAATTAGTATGTCATGTCCTAATTTATGGGTATAATTAATGGTCAAAAGGTTATGAAAATTAATTTAATTAATTAATAAATTAGATCGTTTGTGTCATGCATATTTTCTGGGAATTTGAATGTAAATTTTTGCACAAAAATTATGGGAGTGTTAATGTATATGTACTCGTAAATAATTTTTGGGGTGTGCAAATATGTTAAAATTTTACTGTTTGTTTGGTTAAATTTATGCAATTATGAGATAAATAACGTATTAAATTTCAGCTGTAAAATTTGTTAACTAAACAAAATAAAAATTGTTTGTTTAAAATGAAACCTTATATGAGCAAAAATCTTACAAATAATAATAAAAGTTATTCAAATTGAATTTACTTTAGTTTTCGAATAACTTTTTATTTTATTTTAAGAACAAAAAAGCGTGTAAAGCTTAGGTCTAAAGGCAAGCGATTTTATACAGGCCAACCACCTTAAGAAACAAAAAACCCAAAACAAAATGCTTTAATTCTATTGGTGGCTCTATTTTAAGTTACAAAAAAATGGGAATTTTAAATAAAAAATTTTAGGAAATTTATCCTTACTTAGTTTTGTAAATGAAAATATTTTTTATTCGATTCCCATTTTTCAGTGCTAAATTTTGTCTCTATTCTACAAAGTGCATGCAAAAAGTCGACATGCATAAAATTTAATAAAAAAATGCTTTACTCATGCGTTTTACCAAAAAATCTGGGTACTATTTTTTAGATTGGTACCACTGATCGAGACCACCACTTACGATATTTCGCTCCGGCGTCTGGAATCGCACCATAAAAAAAACAAGAAAACTTCGTTTAATACAGGGCCCGACTCAAAAAAAATTGGGCCCCTAAAAATACTCTCACAATTATAGAGGGGATACTGGTCTAAACTACTAAAAAATCGCTAATTAACACAAACAAAAGCTTCCTGCTTAGTTTGACATTTCTAAAAAGAATGTTTTTTAAATTGTCAAACATTTAACAACACAAGAGCAGCTAACTAACACATTTAACTATAATTAACAGTGTTTTTACACTTTATATATATATAAGTGTATAATTTACATAAGAGAATATCTATTCTAGTCTATTTTTTTAATATCTATTTATTACCTAATAATTAAATAAAAAACTTACCGCGATATCCGTCGGTCGCTACTTGTACGCAGTCTTTCCCGTTGTGTACCACCGGGCACTTATAAAGTGCCCCTGACCTGTTTGTGTTCGGTTGAGAATTGTGGCCCAAAGGGGCACCCACTAAAATCCTAAAAAAAATATTTTAGAATTTTATCTAAAAAAAGGTTATACAATTATTTCAAAAATCTTATAATAAACAAAGGTCTGCAAATGGCCCCTAAGGGAGCTGCAACATCCTAAAGGGGAACCCCCCTCTACTATTATTTCCGAAACAGTTTGAGATAAAATAATAAAACTTTGAAACTGCTAGTTGTTGATGGTAACGCTTTTCGCTTTTGACAGTGGCAGTGACAGTTCTATATGCAGTGTTATTTATAATCTAAAAATTAGCTGTGAAAACGCAAGTGTACTACAAAGAAAAAATAATAAAAAAGGTATGGTAACAAAAAATAAAGCAACAAAAAATATGTTAAATGCAGTGAAAGTCTAAAGGGAAGAGCAGAAAACATAGAGAAGAAAACCATAGAAAAATTAACCGTTAATAAATAAATAAAATAAATAATACAATTGCGATTTTTAAATAATTTACTTTAAAAAGAAAATTATGGTACACTGTTACAAAAATCAGATGAGTTTTTAGTTTGTTAATTTTATTTTATAAAATGTTACCATAATTTTTTGTACAAAACCAGGGTTTGTAATTATTTGAACAAAGGAAAATATTTTTCGGAAAGTTTTGTAAAGGTAATATGCAATTTTCAAAGGTTACAGATTATTTTGTTAATGTTTAACAAATTATTTCGTTGAAAAAGTACACGTGATTTCAGTTCAACTGACTTCAGCGTCTGCAACTTATGTTTATGCTTACTTTATTCTAATTCGTTAGAAATTTGTTATTATTGTTATTCTAATTCCTTATACATATTTAACGAGTGTGCGAAGAATCCGAAAAAAGATGCCATCACTGGTTTTCAAACTGAAATTAGGGTTAAAGTTACGAAATACATCAGTAAGTGTTGTAGTAGTACTGATAATTATATTACCTATACCAAATTTCTTTATAATTTGATGATTTCAAAATGGTGTGTTAATTAATTGTGTGTATGTTATTTTTGTGTTCATTTATGTAGGTTTGTGTTAATTTTTTTGTTTAGGAAATTGATTAATAAAGCAACATTTCTTATTAAAATTCTTTTCATTTAAGTTTCCAATTTCTAACAAATACTTTTATGAGGTTTGTAAAAAATATGGTTTTTTGAAAATTACAAGAATTATGATTGAATTATTCACATAGTTTTGATATTAAATTTACAGATTACAGTTTGTTGTAAACTTAACATAGTTATGTGGACCTGGATTAACATAAAATCTGGTTAATATTTGGTTAAAATTAACAAATATCTTTTTACTGTGAACTTTTTACTTAATAATAATATAAGTAGTAGGGTGTCCCAAAAAAAAAGAATATATTTTTTTTCTTGTCTCTTGTAAAAATATGTTAGTTTATCATGCTGTAAGAGCCCTTTCAAAATATCAGCTCGATTACAAATTTTGTAGGGGTCGCTCAAGATAAAATTAAAAATTTTCAAAATCGTTAAAAATTGACTTTTTGTTTTATTTTAATTCTTTTTCTCGTCTCGATATTATTTTTTAGGTTGAAAATAATAAAAATTCTGTAAATTTCAAATCAATATTTTGATTTCTAAAGGTCGCTAAAAGTTCGTTGATATTTATATTCAGAGGTTGCTCGAAAACATTCAAAATACTCTACTTTGAAAGTTAAAAAAATCTTGAGCGACCTTTAGAAATTAAAATATCGATTTGAAATTTTCAGAATCATTATTATTTTTAAATTAAAAAATAATATCGGAACGAGAAAAAAAATTAAAATTAAAAAAAATCCAATTTTTGACGATTTTGGTAATTTTTAAAAATCTTGAGCGACCCCTAAAATTTTTTTAATGGTGCTGATCTTTTGACAGGGCTCTTAAAACATGACAAACCAACATATTTTCACAAGAGACGAGAAGAAAAAAAATATTCTTTTTTTTAAGTAGTCTCTACAGCCTAGAATTTTCTAATATCGTGCTCAAACCTCAGTATAACATTTTGAAACCCCATTTAAGATTGTAAAATTAATAAAACCAAAACCCTTTTTGTTGTTAAAAATATATTGTAGGTAAAAGAAAAATCAAGGGGTTACAAAAGACCTTTTGACAGTTACATCATATATCACAGTTTCATCCGCCACACTTCCTTCTGCACCTGCGCCTGCGCCTTCTCTTCTTCCTGCAGCTTCTCCTTCTCCTCCTCCTCTTCCTCTTACACTGGTTCCTCTTGCTTTTGGAGCAAGCCTGCCTGTAGAACTTCTCCCGCTGCTTCAAGTCCATGCAGCACCACTTCCGCGCGCCCTCAATCGCGATCTTGCACTGCGGCCACCCGCAATGCTTGGCCCTGAACACCCTCAGGAAGTTGAGGAAGGGGTTGGCGGTCTTCTTGCCGCCGCGGCACTTGGGCCTGCAGCGACTCTTCCTCCTCTTCTTCCTGCAGCTGCGCCTTCTGCGCCTGCGCCGGCCGCACTTCTCCAGCTTCCGGACAATCGAGCAGGCATCACCTGAAACTTTATTACGACATCCCGATTTGGATCTCGAACGAGATCGCCCCATCACTTGGAATTTTGAACGAATCTTCTGTAGTCACCACATTATTCAGATTTCGGTAGCAATTTTGGCATATTTTTAAAATTTCGATATTGAACTTTTGATTTTGATAGTTTTTTCTAAATGACGTTATTTAAACAAACTTTCCATGACTACCACAACGTTTCAGAGGCATTCATATTTAACTGTGGCTTTGTTCAAGACATGACAGATCCAGAATTGTTGTGTTGTCAGTTTGACTTTAAAATATTTTAAGAAACTTTATAAATTCTTGGGTTTCGGGGGTTACATTTGTTCAACCAAAGTATAAATTTTGACGTATTTTGAAATAATATTTTAGCAATTCAATACGTTTTTATTTGTTCTATCTAAAATGTAAAATTAGTACAGTTTAGCATATAAGATATAGTCGAAAAGTGTGCGTTTCGGGTGTTTTACGATTCTATGTCCTGACCATTGTTATATTTATTTGAAATTTAGCGAATTTTCTTAGGAAAACATTCCTAAAAATTACAGGCCTCCAATAGTATAATATTTACTAACCATCTATCACATAATCACTGTCTCAAATAACGTTTTACTATTTTTTTTTATAAAATTTTACTTTGTTTCGGGTGTTACCATGGTTCTTTTTCGGGTGTTACAAGTACAAAAATTAAACACTTCATATGGACAAAATCTTTGTTTTATTAGTCTCTAAGTACTACAAAATAAGTAGTCAAGTAACAAATAAACATAAATATAATAAATTCTTCTTTAACATAACTTAATCAGCTTTGGGTATACCCGTAATCGTATACGATTGATAAATCGGCAAAACCGTTATTATTGCCAAAAATTGATAAAAAAATATCGATAGAAACATAATTATTGACGAAAATCGTAGTATTTGTTATTTTGGTAGGTCCGTTGCAGTGGCGGCTGGTGAATTTTATGTATACCAATATCTCAGTTATTAAACATGGAACCCTCACCAAATTTATAATAATTTATAATGACATTAAATAATCAAGTTCGGCGCAAACAGAATTTAAATTGAAGTTTGCGAAAAAAAGTTAGTTTTTCCTGTCGCCTCACCCGCCTCCAGGCCCCCCTATTTGGGATAATTTAAATTAAAGTGGTGCAATTTATTATCTACTATAATTTATCGACAAATTAAAAATTTTATTTAAAAAACCCAAATATTACAGATTTTATTTGATTTTAAATTTTTATTATTTATTTTATTATAATTAAAATAAAAAAATATTTAAAATGGTATAAAACCTGTAATATTTGGATTTTTTAAATAAATTTTAAATTTGTCGATAAATTATAGTAGATAATAAATTGCACCACTTTAATTTGAATTATCTTAAATTGGGGGCCTGGAGGCGGGTGAGGCGACAGGAAAAACTAACTTTTTTTCGCAAATTTCAATTTAAATTCTGTTTGCGCCAAACTTCTCTATTTAATGTCATTATAAACTATTATAAATTTGGTGTGGGTCCCATGTCTAATAACTGAAATATTGGTATACCCAAAATCCGCCAGCCGCCACTGGTCCGTTGTCATTTCAGTTGAAATACCGAAATTTCGGTAGGTTCGAAATCATCGGAAGTGGTATGTTTATATATTAAGAAGATTTTTTTTAAATTAATAAGGCACTTCCCTGCTTGTAGGGAATATTAAAACCATAGACAAGGGATTGGTTGGGTGGGCGGGGGGTTAGATTAAAACAATTACCTGATTTTTCGTTTCGGGTGTTACAGTGTCAAAGCAACAAGAAAACACACTTAAAAAGTTATAATTATCAATTTTTTCGGGACTGTGACGCAATCCACCAATACTACAATAATTAAGCTTAAATCAAAACGTGGCAAAACGGTTGACATATTGGCAGTTTTTTTCCGTATTTCCAATAGTCATTCAGCCAGTTCACTTCAGTACAGATTTTGAAAACTAATTAATTTAAAAATTACGCGTTTCTTCTAGTTTTCTTTGTAGCAAATTATAATTTGGAATGTTTTCTTTTAAAATTTATCACATTTAATGCAAAAAAACATATTTTATTTTGTCTTCAGTATCGTTTGTCATGGAATGACCCTCTTCTTCAAGTACATGTAGCTGATCTGCAGATTTTAAATATCAGATAGGAATATCAATTTTTACTACGAGTTACACCTTTCAGCACCTTCTAAGGCTCGAGTCGGTACTTTTTATACTATTTTCCCCTTGACTGTTGAAAAATAACTGCTTCTGTAAGCCTATCTTTTTATTTTCATGCTTCGCAGAGATTAAATCTTTCTTAGACCGGCCACGGCCAGTTTTACTCACTTTGAAAAAATTATCCGTATTTATTAACTCCACTGGCGTGGACGGGTTTCTTCAGCGTCATCCTGTTTAGTTGAAAGCATAGAAAAAGAATATAAATAAATATTTTATATAAAATGTATATAAATACAGTGACCGTCAAAAGTATGGAACAA